AAACACACTGATTTGCATTTCAGGTTTGCAACTTTAGCAAAATGATTGTGATTTTCGTGAATATGTAGCACTTAAGGCAAAGTCACATAGTTCCGTATGGATTTCTTTAGTAGTCTTAGTCAAGATGTAAAACTAGAAGGCGTTAATTTTGCGCGAATAATTTGTAAAAAAATCCCGAGGAAAAATTCCTTGTAACCTCATGATATTGTTAAACAAAGCCGTAGTCCTAAAGGTGATCGATTGTTTTCGCCATTCTTTTTTATCACAATTTGCCAATTTGCCGTTGTCGATAAGTGTGCAGACAACGCAGCTCGAGTCAACGTGTCACGCACAGAAAGGATGGTTTAATTTGACGTCGATATTTTTGTAAAAACCACCGTGATAACGAAAATATATCGTTGTCCATAACAGAACAGACATCCCTAAACCACCGCCGATTAGTTAACATTATCCAAGAGCTGCATGGGGAATGAAGATAATATAATGAGGCCGTGCCGAAAACTTTGCCAATCCCGATTCTTTAGTTATTTAGTTGTCTTAATCAGTTCTTGTTTGCAGAGACGAAACAGGTACGAGGTAAGCGGTGCACGTAAAAGCAGCAATTTTTTTACCACGTGATAAGAAATTGTCTGACAAGAATTTCGTCGAATCCGATAACAACTTAGCTCGGCCATGATTTCGTTCTTTGATAATTAATTTACTGAGCTTCATGTTTGAACTGCTCTTCATCAAATCCGATGGCCAATCTTCTACGAGTTACAAAATAAGTTTTTCGTTTGGCGGAATCACTTCCATAGATAAAACACCAAATCGGAAAGAGTTCCACATAACCCCAACATTGATTACGCATTCCATTTCATAAAGACTAAATATAAAGGTTCCTTTGCAACACTCTATGCATAATTAATGTATGGGGTTAAATGGAACTTTTTCCCACCAAATCTATTCGTCAAAAATAGGAACTCGTCTAAACTGGTTTATGTAACAATACATTTTATCTAAATCGGGTTTCTCGAAATACACGTGACCAGGCATTACAGTTGTAAAAGATGTAGTGTTCAAATCGACAAGAGGACATTGGAGAAAAGGTTACTGTGAAAAACAAAATGAAAACTTTAACTATATAGTTCTTGACAGAGCTCAGTTGCTTAAACTATTTTAAAATGTTGTCTTAACATTGAAGCCAATGTCCTCTTGCAAACTGAAACTAACCTAAGTTGATGGAACAAGGAGCTAAATAATAATGTTAAGATGGCACTGTATGTGTTTGTTTCACATGTAACTAACAAAATTCTCTTTGTCAAATATAGATATCTCGTTTATTCAATTTACGTCGAGTATGAAATATCAATTAAGTTTTCATTTAGTCAGTTTTCCCAGAAGTTCATCATGGCCCTTAAGAATGCAAAATCAAATAGATGTTTTCTTAAAAGTAAGTTTTGTTGCTGTTGTTGTGTGGTTGTCCGAAAATGAAAATGCAACCTCATTGAAGTCAATCAGTTGTGAAAATGCGACCTCGTCCAGCGGCGCATCCCCACTGCCCCCTTCCCCCATCTTGTAACTTACGTTTCGTCAACCTGAGATCAAGTCATTATATAGTCAATTAAGTTGTAAATCTGGTCCGTATAGCTGAATGGTCAATGTATCCTCGATGTTACCGAGGTAAAATTTAAGCAGTGTTCTTCCAGTTGTGTTTGCCAAATTTGATTTTACGTTAAAGTTAGGTGATTGTGCTCGATTGCTTAGAGGTTAATGTGGTAACGAAGTCGTTAGTCAAGTCCTCTTTTTATTTTTCATCAATTCTGCTGAGAAGTCAGCTCTTACCGCTAGGACATCAGGTTTCTCAAGTCATTGTAAGCAAGATTACATGCATTTATCTTAACATTTAACCCTTGGAATTTCAGCTGACTTTTTTCTGGGATCGATCTCAACAGTACCTCCTTAACAAATATCACCTTTTTGCTACATCAACTGAGACATAATTATGATACTGAATGTCAAGCAAACAAGCAATGAGCGATCATTCCTCCAGAAGCAGAAATTTTAAAATGACTTTCAGTTCCCTTCAGATAAGGCCATTTCAGCGTCTAACTGCCAATTGATGAAGGCAAAGTAGCGCAAGTTTTCAGAGAGAAATCACCGACTCAAAAAATGATACCATGTTGTAGAAATAAATGAATTAAACATGCGATCGCTCTAAGTATGTCTGCTGAACAACTTGCACCATTATAATTAAATCCAAAAGTGGTGGCTTATTTCAAACTTATCACTTGCCAAGTAATTTTAATTCTGTTTCCTGAGGAAATTGGTGAAACTTGACGTCTCCTTAAAAAATCAAGGTAATTAAATAAAAAAATAAAAAAATCAAGGTAATTAAATAAAAAAATAAAAAAATCAAGGTAATTAAATAAAAAAATAAAAAAATCAAGGTAATTAAATAAAAAAATAAAAAAATCAAGGTAATTAAATAAAAAAATTAAAAAATCAAGGTAATTAAATAAAAAAATTAAAAAATCAAGGTAATTAAATAAAAAAATAAAAAAATCAAGGTAATTAAATAGCCACCACTTTTGCTAACGTTATGAAATTTTCAAGACTCTTATCTTTGCAGTATCTTCTTTATCATTTGATGATTTCTTCCTTTCCCCTGGCCATTTTCTTCGTCATCTAATCTTACCGACAGCAATCCGTCCCCTGAAAATACTAAACATTAATGTGGTCAAAGGTTTTGTCTGTTAAAATTCTTCATGATTGATTACAACTGAAAAACTGCTTGGAACGACATGCATTCTAAAAAGCTTTTTCTCTCCCAGTACTACTGAATTCTTAATTGGGGAAGCAGGGATTTTTCAAATAAGTCGTGTTCAAATTTTATAGGGGTCCGTTCAACCCCCCAATGACGTTCCTCACACGTGAGCCAATATTGGCAACGTCTTGAGCGTTCGACCAAAGTATGGTATTAATAAACTTCTCCACTTCTTCAGAGACCGTTTGCAGAACTTCGACTTGAAAGGCCACTCGGGCAAACAAATGACACGTATTGACTCGCGTTACTAAGAAATTAAGAATCATTTAGCTTTACGAAAGAGTTTTAAGGGCAAAATTTTTCAAGGGATAGCTCACCTTCCGTTTTGTAAAAGAACACTGCTCTAAATTGCTTCTATTTATAGCTCAAGCGTCTCCTTCATCGAAAAATGCAACTTTAATTTCAGCGTCAAGGACGATACGTCTTCGGCTGCCGGCGTGGTTTCCCAAAAATTGTACAATTTTGATGAATATGGATTAACAAGTTCGGCCCATGATCGGCTGATACGTCACAGATTTGGCGCGGTGTTTTGTTTGCACGCTTAACCGGATATTCAATCCTCACGAGGAAACGTGGGGTATTGTGTTTGATTAATTCGCATGTGAGGAGAAAAATAGCATTAATTGCATCTTAGAAGCAATTCTGTGACAAAGAAAATACTCTGAAACGAAAAAGAAAAATCCTGTGAAATTCCCCAGTACATATTATGACTCAAATGGTTGAATCTCATTTCAATGTCTACTTGTAAATCTCTCTTCGTCAAACCAGGCAACAAAGCGAAATCATAACTTCTGCGTTTAGTTTACTCAAAGGGTCTCAATGGGGTATGCCTTTTGTGGCTAGCCCTGAGTTTAAATTTTGGCCATTTAACGGCTAACGGTTGATGTCATTCTAATGTTGTCATCTGAAAATTTTTTGACGGCCCAACGTCTGAATTTTTTGGCATTTTTACGGCTTTCGGTTAAACCCATTGAAGTCCTCTTACCAGTAGAAGAATCCCTCATTACATCCGCTCATTCAAATTTCTTAAATCATTGCGGAATAATTTAGGATGGAAGCAAAACAGTTGGACCCGGATAGTTCATTATTCCTTGGAAAATTTTTCAAATTATTTGTTTTTAATTCTTGAGGGTTTTCTATTACTGGCAGATCCTTAAATGTAAAGAGAATTTTCCTTATCAAAAAATTAATAAGTAAATATCAGTATATATATTTCAGTATTATAAATAAATAAATATATATCAATATTTCTGTATTGTATATAAGCCGCTCACAATCATTGAAAACCGCTTTTTAGTTTTTAGTTTTTAACTCATAACCTGAGGAAGGCCGAACGGCCGAAACGTCGTCCATTAAACTAGTCCAGAACAGTCAAGAGTTGGTCTCTTCATTACGTCGACCTTATTGTACACTTAACTTCAAATTCACGTCGAGACACTGTATCCTGTGAATCCTCTTACTGGGAGTTCGTCGTTAGGTATATCAATTTTACACAGCCTATATATATATATAGAAAGTTTAAAAAATTGCGATGATGGACAACTTCTGACGTAAAAAATATAAAAAGTTTTAATAAAAAACGTTTCGGTCAGAGACCTTCTTCAGTTATGAAGAATATATATATAGATAGATATCTATTGGCACATTTGGAGATGACAGCGTGATATTACATGGAGAAATCTACACGAGACTATTTTCTTGTGGGTGTTTATTGATATTTGAACGTGATATAGAGAGGCCGACTAAGCAACAAAGAAGCGTCATAACAAACAAAAAGCTGAGGAACTAATTATTATTAAGCATTAGTGTTATTCAGTGTCTAAAAGTATAATCCTGATATTCAAAATATATTCCGAAATTTTCAAACCCAAATGTTGAATTTTAATTTCTCACTTAATAACTTGTTATTTATTATTCAACTTTCACATCCAAGATAAACCTCCTTTACTTCGATGATGTTTCAATTACGACGTTTAACTTGAGCTATATCTTTTTTGATACAAACTGTCTATCGATGAGGTAAAAATATATTGGTGGGAAATTAATTAAATTAAATAAATATCAAAATTTTTTTTTTTCACACTGCCATCTCTTTTAAGAGTTGATCTACCCACAAATGCGATATCTTTAGAAGATTTCCTTCAGATCGATGATGACGCATGTTTTTATCGGACGTAGGCATACGGATAACAAAACAAACACTTTTCTTTTGGGAAACAGGAACAACACTCTAGAGTCATTTGCATAAGAGAAGTAGCTATGAAAACAGGTGAGTATCTAGTTTCAAGCGAGGAAGCGGCGAGCTGGAATTCTACAGGACAGTTTAATATGTCTATTAATGGAGCTAACTCAAGAAAATGAAACAGTACACCACTTCTTTCATAGAAAAGGCTGAAAGTTCATTATCAGTTGACTGAGCGGTGAACGTCTCTCCTCAGCTTCTTTACCATGCGTGGTGTTTTCACTGGCGTCGAGGCGTTATTTGTCTCTTTTGCTCTGTTACGAGAAGTGGCTCCATCTCAAGGTTGGTTTCGACTCTCCTGAAATTGTACTTGTACTACCCTGTAAGAACCGTTTGCTAGGTGCGTTTACAACTTCCTTCATTTTCCCCTAACGTTTACATACGTCAAAATGGTGTCATTGCAGTTTGAAGTTTGAAGTTTGAAGTTTATTAATTCATAAATACATGGCAGTTCGAAAACTGAATTCTGTATTTACGTTACAAAAATTCAATTATAGATCAAAATCATTAACTAATCTATCTTAGTTAAAAGAATAAAAAAGCAAGCAGGAGATGTGACGGATACAATGAAATATATGAAGTTCATATATTTTGAACTGCGGTATTAGATACGTATGATGCACGATCCTCGCAGTAGATAGCGCTATTTAAGCAATAGCGAAAATCAAGATGATGAGACGCTAATTAAAAAGGTTATTGAAATACGCAATTCAAAAACTCTAACCTATAAGTTACTTGCTTTAAGGCAAGAAAAGATAATAAAGCTATTCTTAAAACGGTCGGTTTTAAAACGCGGCGTGTTAAAAGGTCGTGCGCGCCTTAATGAATAAGTAGATTCGTGTGGTGCAGGTAATAATTGATAAAGGCGGTGATTGTTGTCATTTACAATTGTGTGAAAAAGTGACTCACATATTTCGTCATGGTGGATTGCTAATTCCTTAAAGTTTATAATAGCAAGAGCCTCATGATAGCTAACACCGGTGCAGATAACTAATGGACATTGCTCTCTTCTGTATACGTTCCAGTTGTTGCATTTTATATTCAGGCAAACTGAAGTGAAAGGTCGGAACTGCATAGTGCGATATAATTGATCTGATACAACAAGAGTAAAAGAGCCCTAAATCAGTACGAGTAACCTTAGCTCTCTTAAGTTGCACCAAAAAATTTAGTCTCTTAGAGGCCTTCTTAAGAATTTCATTAATATGAATATTCCAGGTCAAATCATTGGAATTATTATCAGAGCATCAAAGTTCTGTCATTGCTCATTTCAGTTCTAAGTTCTTGAAACCACTCTCCACCATTGTTCACCTCTTTCCAAGACCAAAATTACCCTTGTTTTATATGCACTAGTTAACCAAGCGATTTCAATTCTTTTTCCTTCGTGCTATGTACGGCTCATGAAAAACTTGTTTTCTTGGAATCTCTTATACACTACTTACACCATAATTAAATACGTTTTAAAGCTCTCTTCGGTCAAACACAGTTTGAAACTGTTTTCGCTATTGAAGTTGCTGAAACTGCCGTTTGACGACTTGTCGTAAAATTTAGTTTTTTAGCATTCTATTGTTGCCCTTTATTCAAGTCAACCTGGGTTAACAAAACATGTTTTTATTTACTGCAAAACATGTTTTGCTGGTGTGAATGACGCGTTAGACTGTTAGGTGTAACAAGTAGGGGGTACACTTCAACTACATCACGATAATAATGATCCTAACAAGGAAAAGAAAGAAAAACTATACAGGCGTTTTCGTTTTCGTTCCAATCCTAACACATACATTGAAAGAATATACCTTAGAGTGAGCTGTAGACAAGAGAAAAAAAACGTCTACTTGATTTCGATCATTTCATTCAGGAAGGAAGGCGAAATGAACGTAGAGACAGGTCTCTGACAGGCTACTGAGAAACACCCGAGCGAAATGATAAAAACAGCATCTTTTATTCAGAAGAAATGTTCGGTAATTCTTAGTGCGGAATAGCAAAATGATAAACAGCCATTGGATCTCGACGTAGCAATATTAAAAAAGAAATTATTCATGAACTGAGACGAAAATGATCCATTTAAATCGATTTTCTGCTGATGGCGTCTAAAATATTGATTTGTCTTAATTTGTGGTTTGCGTGGGCGCCGTGGTGTCTCGGAAGAAAAAGTAAAGTAAAATTGATAAAGGAAGCTAGCTTGTTGCAGTTAAGGGGGAGAAATAGTGGGGGGGGGAATTGGGATGGGGCGAAATCTCCAGCTACCGTGCTACCACTAACTGAGTTACGAAGCCACATCTGGAAGTAGGGAGTAAGGCAAATTTGATTGGATTCTTTTTACCCCATAAAGGAATCTGATCGTATCAAAAAAAGAAAAAACAAATCATATTGAATTTGATATGTGTTTTTGTGTCCGTTCGCTGCAGAGTCGAACATCAAGTCGTACCATAGAGGGATCAGTTCCACAACACAAACTCTTCGACTGCACGAATTTATCAAGTATGAATTTCGTTACTTGAAAGTGCCTCAAGTTAGAGCAACGGAAGTGTCTGATGCGTTTGACTGTGCGTTTGAATGTCTCAGCAATCTGCTGTGTTTTTCGGTGAATCTGGCTGCCTCCAAGGGAGCCCATGGAAAACTTTGGTGCGAGTTGCTGTCTTCTGATCGACACAGAAATTCTACAGAATACAAAAGAAATGAGAGCTCACATCATTTTGCCATCAAGGTGAGAGACATGGTAATCAAACACTTCATCTGTTTTATCCTATTCTCCTGGATATCTTTACATGTATCAACATATCACTATCATCATCATTACTATTACTGATATATAAAGATCTGTTTCACAGATCGATTCATTTTTTCCTCCAACTCCTTTTCATTGACTAAGAGCCCCTTGCCGCGGGCTATCAGAATGATTCCCATACATCATTTTTACAAAAATCGTCGGCAATCCTCGGCAATGGAATGATTAATAGAGGATATTACATGGCCGCTTGGGGATACGAATTTATCTTCGAGTGCTGCAAGTATCTCTCACGAGTGAGCGCAGCGAACTCGTGAGAGATACTTTCAGCACGAGAAGATAAAATTCGTATCCCCAAGCGGCCATGTAAGGACAACTTTTTTTATTCATTTTCGAAACAGCAATTGGGTAATTATGTTGGTAACCATGGCAACACCAATATCCTCACACGTGAAAGGTAAAAATAGTATCTTCATTGCGCGCGGTGATATTTTAGTAAAAGGAGCAATCCTGGTATTTCATCAGTATCTATATAATAAAACAAAATAGTTTTGAACTCGCGTGATTCGTCTCGTGGTTCAATTATTTTCCGATCGAAGCCGAAGGCCTTGACAAATAGTTCACCTACCCGCCAGCAATATGTTATGATATTTTGTCTAACCTCGTCCAATTATTAAAAATCATGTTTTACCATTTTCTTTCCGTACATCTCAAATCAGTGTGACACAGTTTTCCCTTCTTTTTCCTTTTTGCAGTCGCCATGTTCATCCTCGCCATGTCAAAGCGAAGCTCTCTGTGTCGCAAACTACAACGATGGTTCATTTGAATGCCTCTGTAAAGAAGGCTATAAGGGAGAATATTGTCAAAAAGGTACATTTTCACCACAGCGCCCGCGCTGATAAAAACAATGCCCTTTCCTAGCTATGAAAATGGCAGTGGCGATGACAATGAAATTGACATCGACATTGACAAAGTTAATTCAGCTAGTTTGTGCGTTTTGTCCAGTTGAACCATTTCAGCTAGTTTGACGATTTTAACCCGGCGGTTGAACCAGTTCAGCTTGAACCAATGACATTGTTAATGATAGTGACGGTGACAATGAAAATGAATGAAAATGGCAATAAGTGACAATGACAATTCATTATGACGATGACACAATTACAATAACTGAGATTGACTGACGCTGACAACGACAGTGACAATGACAAGACAAGGACACTGGTAATAACATTGATAAAGACTTTGACGATGAATGATAATGATAACGATAACGATCTTTTAATGCTGCTACTCCTCAACCATGAAACTCGTTGCCCTAGGAGATCAGAAGTAGCCCCTCAGTAGCATCTTTTACACTCACGACATTTTTATTCCAGAAACTTTTTTCGTAATTTTATGTGCTCTTTGATCTCAGTTTTCAGTAGGTTTTAAGTAGTTTTTTACGAATTAAATGGTCTTGGTAATTTAAGCGCTGATAAAAGTAGAAATATCGATGTCAGCAGGATATGATAATTATTATTATTATTACTATTATTATTATTATTACTATCATAATCACTATAATAATAATTATTATTATTATAACTATTATTGTGACGATACTAAAATGACAGAAGTATAACAATATTTAACATGATGAATGAAGTGATATTGAAGTATACGTGAATAGCTTTAACTAATTCGTGAATTTTAGCGAATCTAATGTTGTACTTCTTTAGAAAATGCTGAGCCGGAGTCGTGTAAGGAAGCGTTTAATCTATACCGGTAAGTTAAAATTGCCTTAATTAAAAGCTAAGTGTCGACAAAAGAGTGATTTGTCTGTACCAAAAGGTTAAAAGTGCAGCTTCAGATCCGTAGTTCATCGCTTCGATTTTTTATTTTCACTTTATCTTTCCTCATCGAACTGATGTAAAAGAGAAAAATGTAAATTTGTAAGTACTTTTTAATGTCTGATTGTTACCTGAATGTTTGAACGAAGCTATTTGATTACATTTTTAAAGCGGATTTGGGTTCATAGTTTTCACTGCAGTGTAAGGACTTAATAAAAATTTTAAATGTAAATTTAAATCTAATCACTTGTTTTGTTTAGTTACTTTACTTATAATTTTGTTGTGGAGCTGTACACTAGCAAAAGCTAAGCCTGTTTTTCCATGATAAATAAGCCATTTATGTATGTATGCATGCATTTATGTTACCGGCCGCGGAAGGAGAGGTCGAAATCGTACACATTCAAGTCAAGCATACAAAGCAATATGGCGGACCAAAAACGTACCTCGTGCGTTTATTGTTTTTTTTCCCGTGACACCTCGCGACGAAACCAAATACGTTTAAGGGGGGAGGGGGTGGTGTCGATTTCTTCACTTATCCTCAACATTTATGTATGTACAGGTCAGATTCAAGTCATCTGGTCATATTAGACATTGACTCACAGAAGACGACAGTTCTCTGTCATATGGGGGATTTTGGATGCGGAGATGGGGGATGGACGCCGGTCATGAAAATTGACGGAAATAAGGTTTGTCTCGTGCAAAGTTTGTGTGAGCCTATTCCTTCATCATCGTATTTTAATTGATAATGTAATCAATGAGAAAATGCCGACTCTTCGGCTGAAACTGCTCAACTTGCAAAGCCTTTGGATTGTACCTTGACCAAGTCCATTAAAGATTCTACTTTCAATATTCAAATGTTTATATGGTCTGGCTCCTAATTATCTAATTGAATTAATCAGCATCAAAAAGCACTCCAGGTATTCTCTTTGGTCAAACGAATCTTTGTTACTCGAGTTACCTAGTACTAAGACCCGTCCAACCCTTGGCGATCGTGCATTCCAGTCAGCCGCACCTTATCTTTGGAATGCATTACCTTCGACAATTTGCGACATAAAGACACTGGACACTAAAACTCATTTTTTTAATTTAGCCTTCAAAGAATTTTTTTTTTCATGTCTTATCTTAACTATTTTAATGACTAGGCTATTGCTGCAGTTGATTGTATAAGGGTCTGTAGTATTAATAGTTTCTTATGTTTTGGTTGCTTTTGACATAATTTTACTTTGACAATATTGTGAAGCGCAACTGAATATATCCATACAGAGGTCTGCGCTGTATTAGTGTAATCATTAAATCATTAAATTAAACTATAATTTCTTACTCAATTAGAAAATTAAGCTCCATCACTGCAGATAATGTTCAAATTGAATCAAAATGTTACCTAACAAAAAGCATTTTGGGATGGGGAGGGAAAAGCGAAGATCGATAAAAACTACGTATCAAATAGCAGAGCGTTCCAAGACTTTTGACAATGATTGAAACCATTTAGTTCAAACTAGTTGCCGATTCGTGGACAGAGAACCAGCTGTGAGACTAAACCCCATTAATAAGACTCATTCCTCGTCGGCCGTTGAAGGTTTAAAAACAAGTTAAGAGAGATTAACTACACGATAAAGCCTCTGTGAAGGATATAATCTCTTACTTGGATCCTATCTTGATTTCTTTCTTTGAGCAGAGAACTTTTCATTACGACTCCGCCTACTGGAGCAACAAAAACGAATACAACCCTCTCGCCGGTAAAACTGGGTTTGACTCACAAGAGACCAAGTTACCGACCTACTGGAACACATCTTTCTCCAAGATCTGTCTTGGAATGAAAGTCGACAATCTGACCAATTTCATTGTCGTCAACAAGCAGGGCGACTCTTTGTATTCTCTCATCGCGGACGGGCAATACCGTGCCACCTCACTGGGTCGTGACAAGTGGAAGACGCTAATTGGATCGGAGGCCTCCCTTCAGCCAAACTGCAATAAGGAAGGATTGAATGCTGTTGGTGCTAGTAGTGTACATTCTAAAGCAAGAATTGGTATCACAACCAATGAACAGGATGACTGCAGCAGCTGTGATACCAGGTTGGGACTGGGCACTGGAGGATTTAGTGACGACACAAACACGTGTGGTAATGTGGCATCTCATTCGCCAGACAATGGAGTTAAAATAATCAAGACCATGGGATACATTTTAGTGCAGTGATTTAAAAACCCAAAAGGAAAGTTTTTCGATAATGATGTGCTAACCCACCAAAATTTTGCTCTCAGTTCAATTGTGAATTTATATAAAAATACATATTTCCCCCTCAGCTAGCCAATAACAACACAAGATTAACCTTGTCATTCCTGCTCAATGAGTCAGCCTTGTGATAGCACTCTTATCCAGTAGATAAGTCCCATAATGAACTGCTCAGTCTGGGAACATGACAATCAAACACTTTCTTGCTTCAATCAGGGGTTTCAATAACTTTTCCCATAGGCAGCTAAAGTTGGTGTTAGGGGGGGCCGTTCTAATAAATGGGCCATAAGGCCAGTTTACCTTTGGGTTTTTTTTTAATCATTAGATATGTACTTATTACCATTGCCTGGCCTTCAACAATTTGTGAGAACCATTTGTGAGAACTGCAAGAAGCAAAATCATAAAATCTTGAATATCTTTTTCCCCTTTTTTTTCAACTGAGCTGTCAAAAGCCTATGGAAGTAATTAATGAAATTAATGTTCCAGAGTAATGCAAGCTCCTGAGAAGGACATAGTGGGGTAATAGCAGGTAGATTGCAAGTTCTGTCCTCTGAGCTGCTTAGCAGGGGACACTCAAGGACCCAGGTCCTTCTCCCCAACAGTAGGGAACTTAGTAATTTGGCTAAGCTGAGATTGTAAATTGGCCACTGTAATGAGTTAAAAGGCTAACGTTTCGCATGTTAGCCCTTGGTCAGAGGGAATGGAGGGTTGGGGAACTTAGCCCCCTTTCAAAAGTTGTAAAAGTACTGTAAAAGTACTGTTAAGTGCATAAGAGCATACTCATATGGAGCATATGCTATATGTATTCATCATCATTATTATTATTATCATTATGCTACTATTAGTTGGCCAATAGTTGCTGACATTTTACATCAGCTGACCATCCAGCTAGTGTAGGTCTGCCATTTATCTGACACTGACTGTCTATCAGCCAAGTTTGCCGGCAGATTAATGGCTTTGGTGCAAGCCATATATTGAATGACCATTGATTGTTATCAGCCACCCATCAAATTTCATGTAATTCTATTGGTACTTTACATCACATGGTAAAAAAATCACTGGAGAATTATTATGCAATACCTCCTATCTATCTTAAAATTTGTCCCCCAATTATTTCTGTCCAAAAGAAACATAGCAAGGGGAAAAAAACCAGCTCGAGTTTCACTTTTTCACCTTTATTACTTGATATGAAAGAAAAATGATCTCATTTTATAGAGTCCAGTGATAGTGACAGTGACAGGGACTACCTTTAAAATGCATGATTCTGATTTTACAGTACATATAAATACATACAAGTACTTAAAATTGTCTTCCTTTACATCATAGCAATATAAATTCTCCTCTATCTTCTATGCATTTCTTATCATTGGAGCTCTGAGAAATTTGGTGTTAAATCAAATGATTTGCCCCTATTGATGATTTTCTATCTTCTCATTGTGTTTCTGGTTGATGTTGTAGGAAGAAATTACTCACTGGTCACATGTAGGAGTGAAAGAATTATTTTATAGCTCATCACTGTAATGCCTAGTGTTAGATCTCTTATTAGTTTTATCAGTATTATTCAGTTGTTCATTTATCTCTGGTCTTGTAACCCGACCAATAAATAAAACTGCTCTTGTAGACCTGTGGTAAATTATAAACAGGAATGGATGATCAGCATAAAATTCTGGATACATATCTAAAGATCTCTTTTGCATGATCACCCCTGATGCCGCAGTGGCTTCAGTTCCCTTCTCATTCACATGGACATGTGCTTTGTGAATGACATGCGATACATATAAGCTTTCCACAGAACTTAGCCCAGACAAGTCAGCAAGGCCTGCCTCAAATACATCACTGATACCAAGTTTATTCAGAGTCTTCTTTAGTTCAAAATGCTGACTAAGGATAAATCTGGGAATGGATACTTTAACGGTGGTGTTCACAAAAGACATAATCCATTTCTCCATCAATTCAGTGTTTATCAGCTGTTCGATGCTCGAAATTCCCCGGATGTCACTTGGAAGGACGATCAACATTGAAATATCATCGCCATCATATGGTAGCTCAATTATTTGACAGTTGTGTTCTCTGTCGGTTAGATAACTAATTCTCAAAGTCCTTGTCATCATTGAAACTTCGAAAATTCGCTCACCGTCACCAGAAGTGTGAAATGGTGCATGATGTGTTTTCTCTCGATCGAATGCGTGAAGCCATGTACCCTGAAAATAAATTGCATTAATTAACGCCACTCTGGTGTCTTCATTTACAGCTCCTGGGAGCAGAAAGTCCTTAATTTTCCTCCCGGTATTTTTTTCAACCCACTGATTTATCTCTTCTCTCGCTCGTTCAGAACCCTCTTTGAAGTCGACTTTTGAAATTGGAGCGTTATAAAAAGCCAAGGTGCTCTCTTTATATTCTACAGTTTCGTGTAGGTGTTCATGTCCCCATAATCGATTGGCAATCTTCAGCTCGAGGTTTGCGTGTTCAGATTCTGCAATAGCTTCCATTAATGATTTTAATGTCAAATGAACATCTTCAGATTCATAAACGTACCACTTCATTGCTTTAGCTATTTCATCTGCTGTGTTTCCCCTGCTCCCCAGAAACACCATCGCCAAAGAAACCGCAAGGCTAGTCGGAGAGTAGAACAAATTGTTGTCTTTCATTTCCTCGTCTTGATTGAAAATCTTTAACAGATCGAAACCGAAATCATTAATGGTTTCGATGACATTTCCTTCATGTTCCCTTCCATTTTGATCCAAGGTCACTAAATGTAAACTGTTCAAAAGTAAAAGGAGGAGCAAAATATTACATCCTCCAGTCGTGGACACCATGTTTCCCGACTAGTTAGGAGATCTATTACGTGACGCGTGACAAAAAAGTATTGCTCTGATTGGCTGAATCGAAACCAATATTATGGCAATATTACACGTTTAGCACGAACCTCCTCACTCCTTTGGAAAGATTTACGCTTAATTGGCAAGGTATTATTCACTCTAGAGCCAAACGATTGTAAAAATGAAAACTGTAATCGAAGCAAATAACAAGTTCGCTGTTGATGTCCACAAAGCTCTGAAAAATGACCCGCAATTAATTGGCAAAAACCTGTTTTATTCGCCGAGCAGTTTGAGTATAGCACTTGCCATGACCTACCTCGGAGCAAAAGGCAACACAGCTGGGCAGATGGCCAAGGCTCTCAAATGGGACGCAGTGCCAAAGGAGCAGCTCTACACTGAACAGAAACACTTCCTAGAAGTTCTTCAAGCATCAAACACCGCCAGCAACGAGCTCCTGGTTGCAAACCGTCTTTTTGTTCAGAAGGATTTTAGCCTGGTGGAAGAGTTTGTAGAAGGCACAAAAAAGTGCTACGATGCCGAGACAGCCCTGGTCGATTACCAGAGAGATGTCGAGGGCGCACGAAAGGAGGTGAACCAGTGGGTAGAAGAAAGAACAAAACAGAAGATCAAGAATTTAATCGCCGAGGGATTGTTCACCTCACGTACCCGGTTGACCTTGGTCAATGCAATTTACTTCAAAGGATTTTGGCAAAACCAGTTCAATGAAGAGGCGACTTACGGTCAGCAGTTCTTTGTTTCGGAGGGTGAAAATGTAGAAGTACAAATGATGCATGTTACAAAAAAGTTCAAACATGTGGAAGATGGTGGAGGTCTGGGATGTCAACTTCTTGAGCTTCCTTACCAAGGAGAGGACCTCTCCATGGTGCTGCTACTTCCTCATGATGTTCATGGCCTAGCCAAGCTAGAGGAAGGCCTTACCCACGACAAGCTACAAAAGGCTCTTCAGTCGGTAGCCAAGTCACGCCCTTACAAGGTAGAGGTGTCCTTGCCGAGATTTAAGCTGATGCAGCAGTTTCTTCTTAACAAAGTCCTGGAAAAGATGGGGGCAACAGATATGTTCAATGAATTCAAGGCTGATTTTTCTGGGATCAGCCCAGGTCCAGAGAAGCTCTATGTGTCCCATGTCATTCACAAAGCATTTGTGGAGGTGAATGAGAAGGGTACAGAGGCTGCTGCAGCTACTGCTGTAGTCATGATGGGTCGAATGGCTATGCTAAATCCAATCTTCTGTGCTGATCACCCATTCCTATTCGTGATTTGCCACAAAAAATCTGGAGCAATTTTGTTCATGGGCCGTCTGGTAAAACCAGAGGCAGAGTAGCCCAGTGTCATGTCACTGGACATGATGTTGTAAACATTGGTGTTGATGTTCTGGTCTCAGAAGATAAATCAAATAACTTTTGTCCAACTCAAAGAAACTTACTGATGGAGACTGATATATAGGAAAGATCCATGAATAAAGAATTAGGTAGTAAGGAAACATTTTAAGATAAGAAGTCTTTCATTTCACTGAATAATCTTCATTTGATTCTTTATTCTAGTTCCTCACACAATTTTACTATTGGGAAGGAGCGGGGTGAAAAACTAATAATAAAGATTCCCACTGGACCAAACACAATGAATAAAGTACACAGTTAATGTATTTTCTGTGGCCTGTATTATAGTATTAACTATAGGTTATGAACATATATATGAACTCATCTTAACCTTGTATTTGCCACATTTCAGCACTTTAAAATAAAGAGGATGATAAAAAGGGTGAAAAGTAAAGTTGTATTTTTATGGACAGAGCTGAGGGTATACAGGTGACTCCACCCCCACCCCCCTCTTTGTCAAGACAGAGATGATTCAAAACAACATCCGCATAATGACACAACATAGCATGATATTGTGTATGAGTGAGATGCTGGTGTAAGACATTTTACTGAAAAATCCTGTCCACCTCCCTAGTCTTGCAAAATACAAGTTTGAAATTACATTGATTTGAAAGGAAGCAAAGAAAATACACGAGACCTTAAAGACCAAATCTAATCTTCCCCAGTCTACTTTGACCCAGCTAGTTCACACACTCAAACAGTTTTTGGCCTTCTCCAGTCTTGCCTTTGGATGAGTTTATTTGCCTGGATCCCTCAATGGGTCAGCATAACAAATGTGTTTAGGCTAGAAAGCTTGTTTCCCTTACATAAGGTAATAATAATGAAAATACCTTAAACACCAGCATAGAAGTTAGACTTTCAGATAAGCTGCACCTTAAGCTTGTGACTCAAATTTTGGAAAAAAGTTTTCTGAAAAGAAATCACTATTGGAGTCTTAAGAAAGTTGCTACATACTTTTACAAAGTTTTAGTTAGTTTGGTTTTCTGACTTAGACATTTCCAAAAAAATAGTATCAATTGAAACAAATTTCCTGCATGATTTCCAGGTGTCCTAACAGATAAGTCAATGGTGTAGCCAGGGGGGTGCCTGTGACCCCCCCCCCCCTTGGTAGGTCTTCTTTAGAGCAAACAACCTACAATATTCAGGTGGCAAAAACGCCATGACAATATCTTGGCTGTAAAAGCCCTTGATATGGGCCTTCATGCCGCAATAATGACTGAGCCCGCTGATACACACGGGAGAGCAGTGGTGTAAATGGTGAGTAGCCTCTGTGACGCCCCCTTTGAAAAATCCTGGCTACGCCCCTGCAAGTCACCCCTGATTTGTGACAAAAGTTTTGGGAAAAACGGAGATGCCAGTGTTAACAGTAACCATGATAATGATGATGGAAATGATAATGAAAAATGTTAACAATAATGATAACGTTGATGATGATACATGCTCCAAAATGCGTATGGGCCTTGAAACTTTGCCAGGGCTTTTAGTGGGTGTATAAGAATGGGCAGTTTGGGAATGTGAGGGGGGGGGGAGGGAATATGGACAACTTGTACTTAACAAATCAAGTGTGAAAATAAGCTAAGAAAAGTTACAATAATACAATACAACTGTACAGTCATAAAAACATGGTTCGATTTACTTAAAATATCATTGATGGGGAAATCAATCAACACTTGATTGACAAGAATTCTTCAGTAGACTTCAGTAGACTGCTGATGACTTCCGCTCTGGCTGACGAAACGTAGTCACTAGTAACGATAACAGTCCTTCTCAGTACTTTCTCTCCCGAACGATCGAACTACACGATCACAGAATGTCGTCTTTTCATTAATGGGAATAATTTCTGAGGAAGGTTCAGGGATTCAAGAAAATATTTTTTCCTCAGCGGTGTTAATAAGAAAATGTGTCTAAGCAAATTACTGAAGCAAAAAAATTCAACTAAAATATGTTTGGTACGATGAATATATGAAGTTCATATATTTTAAATATAAAATATGTTTACGTTTCAACGTTTTTCAGGTGAGGGAAACCTATTGTTTTCTTTGAGTACAGCCTTGATTTGGACCACTTTGGAAATAAAATTCCCCGTTTGAAATCACTGAGCTATACGGTAAAGATATATACGCCATTAAGTGTGGTGTGACATGTTTATTCAAGGTTTCCGTGACGTATACCTGTCGCGCACGTCACGTCAATGCGTGACTGATTCAATAAATTTTCCAACTGATTTATTAGGTGCAACCGGAAAGAAAAGCTAATGAAACCCGGGAGGGGAATCGAAGCTAACGGCCCACCCATGTCGAAGGCATGAGAAGATGCTACCCAAACGTATCCACCTTCCAGAATAGGCACTGCCCACTGAGACCGCCCATGACGAAGCCCCGTCCGAAATTCGTAACAGTCTGATAATCCAAGCGCCATCCGAACTTTGACACACAATAATTTTGGTGCCGTTGTTATGTGCGCAACGTTGAAGAATGGACGCCGCTTTAAATGTGGCCCCTCCGAGGAGTTAAATAAACTTTCCAAGTGAAATAAAGGAACAGAAATATTCTAGAGAACTGGCACCATTTTATCTTTGTATTTGTAAGAAAATGTCTATGTTCGCAGAATGGGTCAAATTACGTCCAAACTGGGAATCCGGTGCATTATCCACTGCGCGTCGCTTTCTCACAACCGCGCACCACCATAAATTGTTCAGAGTGTTACAAAAGCTGTGAAAAAAAACGGCAAACTATCAGTTTCCTTTCCCATTAGAATAATTCAGTGGAGGTATGGCTTTTAGTTTTGGTAATCATGAGTCCTCCACCTCATCACGACCGACGAGAATCGGTAACCAAACCTTTTTGACACCTGGTCACCGAGTGCTCGATAATGAGAACAGAGATACTATTACTACTTTGAAGGCTGACTTTCTGCTACATAAACTGAACGAAATACTAATGTTCATCTTGATCGTTGTCGCTTTCTGAACTGCTAGTTTCGCTCTCACTCTTGTAACGCCGTTTCTTCTTTTTCTTCCGTTCGCTTTTATGTTTGTGCTTCTTCTTGGATTTTCGCCGATGGCTGTGCTTGTCTGATGAATGATGCTTCCGCTTTCGGTCCGCTGGCTTCTCTGTCAGTTCATGTTGCTTTTCACCGTCCTGGTTTCCAACCTCTGTGTTACTTTCACCGGCACTTGGAGACAGTCTGAAATGGAAACAAAGTTACTTCTTCGAGGATGTAAACACAATTTATTCGNTTGTTGGCAATTCCATCTCTTGGAGACAGTCTAAAATGGAAGCAAGGTTTACTTTTTCAAGGATTTAAGCACCATTTTTTCAATGGGGTGGGAGGGAGGGAGGATTCTCACTCTGGCCTGTTATTACTATTTCTTTCTTATAGTATCACTTGACTAATGAAACAAACGTTTAAGGTTATACGAACAAAGGAGATGATCGCCCACTGAATCAGAGGATTCAAAAACTTTTTCCATAAACGGCTGCCGGCGGTGTAACATGCAGCTGTGCTATAAAGCGAAACTCAAACACGACACCCTGCCCACCACCCTGATGTTACGATGTCAGGGGAGAGAAGCCCAACGAACGAGAAGAAAGTTGCACAAACCTTTCGTTCAAGTGTTTGTTTTCTGTTTCCTCTTCTCTTTCTTCGTTATCACTGTAGCTTCTCCTTCTCGTTCTTCGTTCTCCGTTCTCTTCTTTATCTGTTTGTTTGCTACGTCCTCTTTCCCTACTTCTTCTCCGATGCCGGCCTCGGTAATCATCTCTCTCTCGGCTCCAGTCCTTATCGTATCGCTTTCTGTGCCTGTCCTGTTCCCAGTCTCTATCCCTCGTTCTATCTGGCTCCAGATCTCTGCGTCTGATCCAATGATCTCGCCTCCAGCTTCTGTCGGATCTCTCGGAAGCCCGGCCACCGTTGAATGGGGTGCGGGTTGGTGACAAATCCTCTCTGTGGTTGAACTCATCTCCTGGATTGTGGTACACATGTAGGAAGTTGCAGTTTTTGCCTCTCGGACAGCGGTTGCGCCCAAACAGTCCTTTATAAATTGTAGAAGTGAAAATCAATACATCATCAAATAGATAAAATCTAAATATACAGATTGAATGATAGACCAATTTACAACTGACCAACAGAATCAATCAGGGTTTTCATTGGTTTACCTCATTACACGTTGTGATTGGTTTAGAAAAATCTCCTTCTCATTGGCTCTTAGTGATATTCACCTTCGACCTCAGGGCTTTCGTTGCCGGAGAAATTTGCCGGATGAAAAAGCGGTGATCACCGGCTAAATTTTTCGCTGGCAATCTCTTGGTAAAGCACAAGGGGCACTTCTGAGGTTACGCACTTACAATCCCTCGATATCGAAGGCTTTCTTTGAGTCACCTCACTTGAAATTTCAGCCCGCAGCCTAGCCTAATTCTTAGCTACAACACTGCGTTTTAATGGGCCGTTGTCTTAAGATTCACCTTGTTTTTAAGAAATTCAGTCGGAAAACGCCCCCAAAATCAAGTAATGTTGGCAAATGAGAAACGTTTTCAAACCAAATTCCTAATAACATCAGTCACTCCGGAATTGATACCAAAGCCTGTAAAAAAGGTGTCTTTGCTTGCGGTTTTTACGCGAATGGAACGAATGTAAACGCATCAGTGCGAGGAGGAATGGGCGCTAAACACGCACATCATTCGCCGTTTGCACATGCCTCGTGCTTACCTTCCCCATCCACAAACGCAGAAAGTGAAGCCTTATCTGCAGATTGCTCATAACATACCGCATATTGCTGACTTCCACTTGGTGACGGGAGAGTATTCACATGAGAGCTGTTTTGATGCATACCAACGGGCGTTAAACATTGCATAGGCTTTGGCACATTCCTCTTCACTGCAAATTAAACACTTCCTTCGGCGACTTAACAACAACAAAAAAGGTCACAGGGTAAAACTGAAGACTTGCAAAACGAAAGTTCTACGGTGAGATTTCCACACAGCTCCATGATTCATGATGCATGCAGTTCTTCAAGAAAGAACATTGATTAATGTCGGTACCGAGGCAACTCCGCACCCACCCCTCCCCTGACCCAACTGTTGGGTCAAGGGAGGGGTAGGTGCACAGTTTCTCAGATACTGACATAGATTGCCATACCCCTCCCCTATCCCAACCTTTACAATAGTCAAATGATAACAAGTTGGGGTAAATGTTGGATTAGGGGAGGGGTGGGTGCGCAGTTGCTCAGATACTGACATAGATGGCCCTAACCCAACATTTCCCCTGACTTGTTATCATTTGACTATTGCAAAGGTTAAGTTAGGGGAGGGGTAGGTGCGCAGTCTCTCAGATACTGACAAAGATGGCCTTTGGGACTTCGACTTTGTTTTAGAATAGTATTAGGTTATATCGAAATATTTTCAAACAGCAACCGTACATCTTGAACAGCCTCGTTTTTATTTTGCGAATTATAAACATCCTCGTTACCTTCCCGCAATCTAAACCTCGCGCTTGCATATATAAAATGAGAACTCAAAACCGAGTTTTCACTAATTCGTACATGACGAAAAAGATGACTGAATGTACCGGAAGGCCTTTCTAAACAGCAACAACAAAAGTAGACCTAATCTGTGAAACAAAGGAATGAAAGAAACATTTAATAATGAAGTTGAAAGTCTACCTAGAAAACTGGACGTAGACATTCCCTCTCAAATGTGGCTCGAAGTTGCAACAAACCTGTAGGGAAACCGGAAAGGTATTTACAATCACGCTAACAAAATCAAGAGCGATTTCCGAGTGAATGTCGGAAGCCCTCCTGCGCTCTGTGATTGATCTATGACCATCACGTCATCTATTCGACCAATCAAATGGCGTATCAGTCAAGCACCACTTGTTAAAACGCGTTTTCCCGCGCTTTTTGGCTCTTATGCATGACGACATCATCTATTGACAACTTACCCACAAACCTTGTCTAGTACGCTTTCATTTCGTGAATCTCCTTAACTTTGTTGTTGTATTCAATTTTTTTTTTTTGAGGCGTTTGCAGTACAATTCACCAGTACACACCTTGCAAGCGAGGTCTGGGGGCGAAATTTGGTATTCCGACGTAGACAAGCAGATGGCCTATTGGTTTTTGGTCTTTGAAGGCCTTTCCTGCGTTTGTTAAAGCGTTGATTTTGAGTTCAACCAGCCTATCAGTGCAACAATTTTTACCTTAAACTGCACAACAGTTCCAGCCTTTCTAAACTCCGGCAAAGTGTCATCGTAAAACCGCTTGAAACTTTCAAAAGTATCCCTTTCGTCGTACTGGAAATGAAACAGAGATAATTAACAAGTTGATGGCAAGAGTACTTTTCATTAACTCTTCTCCTAGAAGGGTATTTCGAAATAATGTAGTGCACTTTGCGGGAGACTTGAAGGCACTTTTTGCAAGTGCACCCAATGCGGAAATCAAGGCCAGACCACAACACCGGGAGCTACGTTCCCTACTCTTTGCGAGAAGTGTGTAGGTTATTTAAAATTCTGTGATTCCCTGCTAACCAGCACAAAGAAGACTAGAACGTCTCACCATTTTGCAGGTGTCATGGCAAAAGCAGCACATTCTCCTCAGTTATTTTATGACCCTGAGTGTTGGTCCGGTCTAGAACTTGAATCCTCGACCCTGAGCACAAAAGTCCAGCACTCGACTATCTGAGCTAATCACGAGCCTTGGAGCCGCGTGCCGAAAACTCAATGACACTTTGTTTTAAATTCAAAAATGTATATTCTGTCTTAAAAGAAAGCTTCAAGCAAATTTGCCAAAAAAAATATTGAAAAAGTGTAATTTCGTTACCCGAAGCAATGGCAGACGCCAAAACAACTCAAAAGCCCTCCTATGGCCGAAAATGTTGTCCTAAAAGGTTGCTTAGTTGGTGGCCTAATTTCTTATACATCTTTGTTCGTATCAAGAACATGTGTTGCTACCAATTACACAGAATCTGTGACTACGACTAATCACTTTTCCCATCTCTTTAAACGAGCAGGAATGGAGCGCATGAAAATGCGATCACTATTTACCGTGAGCATAACGCACCTCTAAACTTGTATCTTGATCAGCTTCATCAAGCATTGACTGAGACAGGCGAATGTCGTTGTACATCCCTGGAATCATTAGAGTCACGCTGGAGCTGGGTCGAGGATGGTGCCTGGAACACCTAAATGGGCAAGTGGATATCAGCAATTGGTCAAGGAACGTGAATGACAACAGAGTATAGAGTATTATTATCCAACTACACTCCATAGAGGACAAATAACGCCTTAGACGAGTACAAATATCACGCGGTATTTGTACTCCAGAGAACCGACTAGACAGGTTTTCTCGCATCGCGCAAGCGAAGTTACGAAAAAAACAATTGGCGGACAATTTGAATCATATTTCTGACGACGAAGAGTCGGAATGGCTAGCGAATATAGATCCAAGTTTATTAGATGAATCGAATAAAGAAAAACATCTAGACGACCAAGAAATTTCTTCATTAATTGAACAAAATAGAAACAGCAAAACGACAATGCGCCAATTCCATACCGCTTAGCATACTTCTGTCCCGCACTCCCTGTAAATAAATATCCGCGAAATTCGTCCGCACTGAAATAACAATTTGGCAAGTTGGATAATAAATAAGTAACTTATAAGACGTTGGTTTTACCACACTCATTCAAGAAAGCACTTTAACTTCAGTCAAAAATCACTTGCAATTTCATTAACACCATCCCTGCCATAATGCTAATCTCAACGACGAGTTTTGAAGTATAAACGGGTACCAGTATAGGTAAATTGCAAAACCTGATAAAATACCGGAAGGCTACGTGCAAAAGACTAACACTGCATCCATGAGGGAAAGGGGAGGGGGGGGGGTGATCATAAGGATATTACTTAGTTCTTATTAGCCGAGCAGGAGGTCTGTATGGGAGAATCTTGACCGAGGTCGCCAGTACAGACCGAACGCAGTGAGGTCTGTGCCAGCGATCGAGGTCTAGATGCCGGTCTACATGGGAAAATCTAGACCGCTTTTAATATTGATTTCAGCCAACCAAATTCGTGAATTCGGTAGTTCCCAGTCCTTGTGAGACACAGCCATATGGGGGGTCAGCCAAATTTTATCGTGACAAAACCAAAATCCTTTGATCCACCCCTCCCCCCATAATAAATAATAACCCGTCCCTGAACTTCTCACCTTTCTCCGAACCTACAGGCTCCCGTCTTCAGATAAAACGAACAATTCACTGTATCCTATAACAGCATAGTCAAAATAAACAAATTGCATGGTAGTTTTGTGGTCGCTTCACTTCATACTGTATATCTCTTCACCAACAGTTAGTTTTTTAGCTACGTTATTTAATTATGTTTTAGGCTACATTCATAATGTATGACAGAGGGGGGGGGGAAAGGAAGGAGGGCAGGTGGAATTTTTTATTATCCAAAAAAATTTTCAACACCCTGACCTCAACTCTTGAGAAAATTAGCAATCCCCACAAGCAAAAATTTATTTCTTCTAGCTTCTTTGATAACAAAAATTTGGTATCCCCCCACTTTATTGTAAAAAAATTTGAAATCCTTCCTTTTTCTTGTATATATATTTTTTTCCAATCCCCCCTCAATTTCACCTGCCCCCCCTCTGCCATACATTAAGAACGCAGCCTTAGTTGTTGGCAAATGTGTAAATAACTGTACTATTGCAATCCTTTGTTCATTCTTGATTGATTTTGCTTTCATTTTTCACTCACTTGTTCTGTGCCGTAGGATTTACTGTCACCTGAACGTGGTGCCAAAGGATTATGCCAAGGACCATTAGCCTAAAATTATAGGAAAAGAAAGGAAGAAAAAATACCGAACAGTAATAAGCACTACTGGTAGTACAAGGTGTTTCCAATTTTACCAATAGACTGCTGGTTTATTGATGGAGAGCATACTTTCTCCAATGGAATTGATTCGAGTGTATCGGACAACACTCAAAATAATAACTCTTCACTATGACACATGAACATTAAACAACATGCCCTTTACACAACAGCTGTACCTATGTAACTTGGCCTTGCTGCCCATGATAAAAATGTTTGTGAACAGATATAAAAAAAGCCAATGAAAGTGTTCAAAGTGAAAATTTTACTGTCATTACAATGTTTAAAAAAAATTCCTGCCAAACATTATTGCCTAGCACACAATTCTTTTTTATACCGATTTTATCATTTTTAAAGTCTAACAATGTCATACCATGCAACTCTCACACTTCAATTGAAAAGTCTGGAAACTGAAATTCTAATTGATGTGTCTTTCTGTTTCTACTCCTGCCATCTATTTCAGAGGTTTCAATAACATTTTCCATAAGCAGCTGATGAAGGTGTAATAGGCAACTGTTTCTGTAAGGCCCCTTTCCTCTAGGGGGTGAGGGGGCATGCACCTTCCCCCTTAGAAAAAATTGTAATCTAGAAGCTTGAAAATGTAATTTCCAGCAGCCTGAATATCCAGAGGTATGCTTGCAGGCTAAACAGATGGTGGGAAAAAACTGCAACCATTTTTTCCATGGTTGATTTGGTTGAGTGACAGAGTCATGTAAAACAATGCACAAGGCTAATCCTGATAACAACAGAATAAAAATCCAAACTCCTCTTTCATATTCATGTACCTCAGAAGTTGATGGTTTGTCCAACTCCCTGAACAAGGCATCCTATAGGAAAGACGATTCCAAACAGGTTTCTTAAGAGAGGGTTAAGATTCTCATGATAATTTGCACATCAATAAAATACATTAGACATTGTGATCTGGCCAACAGTTACATGAACTATGTCCCAGTTTCCCAAATATCTTAAAAAATGCAACAGAAAATATAATTCAACTCTGTATTGCAGTAACTATTACTTGAACAAGTAGTATGACCTAACGACATTAACATGAAAAAGGTTGTTTGACCTTCTTGTTAGTATTTAAAAAAATTTTCTTAACATTGCAGATATGGAATTCTCACAATACAAAAGTGTGTGCAAAATTAGATGAATATCATCCTTTTGTTATGACACACACAGTTATAATAATAAAAAAATAATTAGAAAGGTTCTTGAAGGCACATTTAGAATTTAAAACTGGCTTACAGTTACAGACCTAGAATGAAAAGAAAAAAAGTTGGCAAAAATACTGATCACAACAATGTTACCAAAGTAAATTCAGTTCAACCATCAAATGATCGACTTTGATACCAGGGTTGTCATTAGAAAATGTAATGGACCTGTGACCTGAACTGAGTTATGCTTGCATTGCAACACCCTCTCCTAGCAGGATCTGAGGGCATGCTCCCCCAAAGAATATGAAAATTGAAACTCTCTCAGATGTGATTTCCAGCAATCTGGGACATATTTGAGTATCTTTTTCTCAGCAAGACATTGATGCAAAATAAGTTCAAAAATACTTATTTTCTATCTTAGAACACAATTAACAAAGTAGCGGCCAGTACAAAATGGTCTGATAGCCGGGGGATATTTGCCACCTACCAGCCTCTAATAACAACCGTGTTGATACAATTCTAAAGAAATGCAACAGTCAGCTACAATCAGTCTAATAGGTAATCTATGATGTACATTTCTGGTCATTTATCTGAAGCTGCTATCTTTTAAAAGATACAAATATTCTCTGATGCGATAGGCCCCATGTGTAAAGGCACAGCAACTTGCACATGAACTTGGCTGATGTTATTCCACACTTGTTAAGGATCATCAGGTATTACTTAATTTCAATACAGTTATGACAATGACAATACATTTTATGCATATGTTGGAATACTTTAGGTAATTACATATCTGAGTTTTATACAGACTAAGAAGATGTTTGACACCAGAATTATAAACAGAGTTATCTTCACAGAAAAATTGATCATCAGACAACCTGTTCTGTTCTGTTCTCATCTAACATCTTGACCACTGGGCAAAGAAGGATGCTGTAAGAGTTTCTTGCCCAATAGAAGTACTGACACATACTATAATAAGTATATAAATGTCATTCTTGTAGGGAGTTAGAGAATTCCAGTTGGGGGAGGGGGGGGCGGGGGGTTGAAACATAAAAGAGAAAGGGGCTTAACCTTTAACTCCCCTGAGTGACCAAGACATAACTTCTCCTTACAATATAGATGCAAAATCAAGCAGACAAGTGATGAGAATAAAGAAAAATATCAACTACGGGATTGTCAGTTGATCCAATCCCACATTCTCAGAACTAGCATCGTTAACATTATATACAGTGCTTTCGATAAAACCCGGCACCCGCCGTAGCTCCAGTGGGTATTCTGTTGTGAGTGTCCGGGTATACTTCACTGCGCTCAAGTCGCAGTCACCACGCTCAAGTTGCAATCAAGTCGCTCTCAGGCAGGTGTTGTACCAAGGTAGCCACCTATTTCAAATCTTATTGAAAGCACTGTATATAGTGAGGTGAATTTTTACTAATGAAATCCTAACCTTTTCAAGATGTGATTACAACATGTAATCACTCCATCCAGCTGGCAGGGTGTACATGTCCTTGGCAGATGAACCCTTTCACTCCCAAGATCTCAATAGCAATTCTCCTTACAATCTGCTATACGATTCTCATGAGTTTGGTTCAGAGAATTTGTTATTAGGTTAACTAATAATCCCCTAGTTGATATTTTTCTTTATTCTCATCAATTGTCTGCTTCAAATTGTATTGATAATTAAATAGAAAGAGAAATTATGTCTTGGTCACTCATGGGAATTAAAGGAGCCCTGACACTCACAACTTTGTCTGTTATTTCTCACAGTTTGTTTGCTCAATTATGTACTAACATTGCACAAAGAGGTTATATGTGAATCCCTTCTAAGAACTGAAGGGTTTACAGAGAGATCCCTTTTATCAGTTATTTATCATCCAACTGAGCTTCCTAGTGTACAAATAATGTGTGAGATGAGTATAAGTATCTTGTGATATTTGAACTCCAGAGATACCCGTGAAATTCGCCAACACTGAAAAAACAATTTGGCATGTTGGATAATAAATCTCTTATTAAATGTTTTGTTGGGTAGTAAGGCTGGGTTTTTTACTTGTTGTTTGTATTTTGACTCACCCTAGGGTTCGTCAAAATACAGCTCCATTAACTATGATGATATCAATAAGAAAAACTTGACTTGAGGTTACTATGTTGGGATACATTCAGTGAATAACCAAATCCGTCAACAGTGATATCACCTCTTTCTCGTTGATTTCTTTTTGTTTCTGTTCTTCTTTGTCCTTCTCCCTTTTCTGTTCCTCTTCCCACTCTCTCTTGATTCTTTCCTACATCACCAGACAATGTTTGGAAAAAAAAATTAACTTAGCAATGGAAAACATCAGCAACAATGACTGAAAATCTTTGCCCTCTAGGATCAAATATGTGTTATTGACCAAGCGTGAGGTCAAGATGGCTGGATATTGGCCGAGTTCTATTTTTTGCATTTTTGTGGACTGAGACAAAGTAGATGGCTAATATCCAGCCATCCTGACTAGTTTATTAGCTTTGCCGACAGGCAGGGACACCGCAATAGCTTGCGCCAATTACTGCGGCCCCAGTAAACCTACCCATCCCACCCCAGGGGAGGACATCCATCACACAGTAATCTCGTGTGTGGGAAATTAACGTCTCCCACCCCTAACCCGGCAGGAGATGGGGTCTACAGTTTATTCATCCTTATCTGAGAAGACTAGGATATCTATTCATTTCTTGATATTATAGAAAGGTAGCAAATTCTCCTTAGTTATTTCAAGACCATGAGTATTAGTCCGGCCGGGGTTCGAACCCTCGACCTCCTGCACATCACAATCTGGCGCTCTAACCAATTGAACTAAGCTTGGTCAGTAAAGGATTTATTATATTACATCTCCATCCCATACATTGTTCAAGAATTATGAACAGAGTACTAATTCAATTTTTTGCATGTACGGGATGAACATGGGCAATCCTGAGTGGCAAGATTGGCTTGGGTAGCCAATCAGAACACAGGATTGGCTTCATCTTGCCCATGGGTGCTGCGTGGGATGTAATAAAATGAGATAATGCAGGGTTCCCCTTTTCAGGCATGAACCTGTAAAATTTACTGCCTGTAGTAAAGGTCTCATACTACTGCCTAAAATTACTTGGAATTCTTAAAAATTAAACAGGTAAAAGGATAACCCTTCCCGTTTGAAAATGTGTTGTACCTAGTAACATACTAACAATAAGGGAGTACACTGTGATGGCCAATAGTAGATCCAAGATTTCAAATGTTATTAAGACTGACAGAAAATAAATATGCTGAATACGCTGGCTTTGATGTAAATCAATAATTGTCCAAACATATTTTTTGGTGTACATCATCTAAGCACACACCTCTTGTTCCAATTTTTCTATCAACTTTCTTTCTTCATCCTCTTTTTTCTTTCGAAATCTTTCTTGGGCAATGGCTTCCCTTTCCAACCACAAGCGATGCTGAGTTTTTCTTCATTACAGTAACAAAGCAGATGTACATGAATGACAGTCAGTAAACAATTCATTTACCAAATTACACAAATTTGAAAGTTTCACACCAATCACCTTTCATCTTCCTCTTCTAACAACTTCTTCTTTTCTGCTCTTTCCTTTGCCTCTAACTTGGCCCTGATAAAAAATCAGTATGGGTGCTTTACTACTAACTTTAAAATTAAATCATAATTTACACCCTAACATCAGTGTGTATATTCTCCATACTGTTCTCTATACATTTCTTAAGGTGCTGACAAGGAGAATTTGTTTAACAATCAAGAGCTTCTTAATTTGGTGATCATTTCCTTTATTCTCCTGACCTTAACATGTGATTCAGGGGTGATATTGTAAGGAGAAATTAGATACTAGTCAACCTTAGGGGTCAAACTGGTTAAACAAAACCTATCATTTAACAAGAAAAGGGATCTAGAAAAAGTGACCACCCCCTTGTTCCACCCCAATGTAGTGTCTGTCCTACATTTCTTATAGTTTTAATTGAGTATTAATTGATATTTTTCTTTCTCCTTAGCACTATTCTGCTTGAGCATGTATTGATGATGAAAAGAAAAACTCCTCAGTGATTCAGGGATGTAGCTAAAAATTTTAACAGGCAGGAATCCAACAATGATAGGCGGGTATTTGGGCTTGGGTATTGGGGCTTGGGTATTGGGGCTTGGGTATTGGGGCTTGGGTATTTGGGCTTGGGTATTTAGGAATTTTTATTCATTATTTCACATACATGAGGTACAAATACCGCTGGCCATTGAGCCTGCAAAATGGATGATGCTATGCGAATGATGCGATCGTCGCACTAAATGGAGTGTTTACAAACCTTTCAGTTCAGGTAAGACAGCAATGAAGATGTAAACAAATGAAATAAATAAATAGCAATCTTCTGACAACATTTAAAAACATTTTGGAGAAAGAAGTAGTGTTTTACAGCTGGAAAAATCACATTCACAGCCGGGTAATTTTCCCGGCTTTCAGCTATTATCTACATCCCTGTGATCATTACTGGGAATGAGAGGGTAATCCCTCTAGTACCACAAGTGATTAACATGTAACTTCTCCCTACCATAATCATACATTATCCAGCAAACAGGTAATGAGAATACTCAGACTTCTCAGATAGAAGCTGTTACCTTGACCTAACACCAAATTCTTGTCACTTACTTACAAGGAAATGTGTGGTAATTAGAGGGGAGAATTAGCAATCAGATCTTTGGAGTTAAAAGTTTATTAAGTGTCAGACAAGAAATCCATCATAAAAGTCAATTGCCTTATAAAAAACACTGAACAAATAAGTTGCTAGACCCAGACCTCAAGGCAAAGAGAGAGGCTGAGTCAAATCTGTACCCTACTTATTTTTCTGCTACCTTGGTGTTCTCACCAGGCTGCAGTCTTGCAGGATTCCCACAAGAAAAACTGAAATGGGGCATTAAAGGCCAAGAAGATGCTCCTGTTGGTGCACAGGCCTCCATACGCAAGCTAGGAGTCAAATGGACTTTGAAACATCTACAGTTAAGTAGGTTTAGTGGTCAACCTAACACCCAGGTATTTTGCTTGTTCTAATGAAATAAATAAAAAAAAATGATATCAAAAGACCTTAAGTCTCAAATTTTATTGCCTTCATCTTTGTTGTTCCCACAAATGGCACTAAGATTGGCATATGTTATCAAATTATAAATACCTTGTCCACCATATGGGGTCAGTTAGGTACTTTATGTAAGATACCATTTGTCCCCCAAATGTACTTATAAGACTCCTGAAGGCAAAATCCCAGTGAGAATACTACTACCACACTAAAAATATGATGAAACTGCAACTCACCTTAATATAGGATCATTTTCTATTCTCCACTTCTCTGTACATAAAAAGGAAAAGGGTCATAGCTACAAAGTGTAAGTGTCTATCCAAATCAAAACCAACAAACATGGCATAATAATTGTAAGTATACCACAAACAACTCTCAAAAACTTCTCTGCCACCAAAATAGAAAAAACAGAGTGGGAATTTTCAAAGTAACTCTAAATACAACTGCTCTCTCATGATTGTCTAAATATTGCAAAAACTCACCAACCACAGGGAGTTACACAAAGTGCTTTCTGGCACAAATGAATGCCTTATTACCAGTAAATTAAATGCAAATATGGCAGACAACTCAGTCCACCATGATGTATTCCTTTGCAAGAGTCACACTTTCAAAACTAAACCCAATGCTGGAGTAGCCTTGGTGTGGTACAGCTCAACCCAGGCCAACAAAGTAGTCCACCATATTTGCATTTGGTGTGTAAACCTAGAAAAGTAAATCAATCACCAAGCCCCAGTTGCTAGAAGACGGATGATACTACTCTCTAGATATAAACAAATGCCATAATTTCTGGCCCTTTACTTGTGGGTAATCTGTTGATTTTGCCTTTAACACGCGCCACTGCGGGTAATAGGGAGGTGCGGGTTATGTAACAATTTTGAAATCTACTAGCCGTCAAATTGAAAAAAGTTCTCACCTCCCTGCGTTTCCACTTCTGAAGTGAATTTTATTGTATTAAGACTGCCACAAAGTGACACAAAAACATGCCGACTCGAGTTTATTTCACGCATAATTAGTTACACGACGAACAAATGTTTATCAGCACCTGTGTAAACAAAACCTTGATTGTGACAAAAATAGTCCAAGGATATCCGGCGCATCAGTAACAAATTTCCAGTTAACATGAGCTTGAGCTGAAGAGAATTTTCCCGTTTTAAGGGACTTGTTAAGCCCAGAAGAACCGGATATATCAATTTTTTTGAGAAATCAACAAATCAACATGGCGCTGAACAATCGCTAACACAAAATGAGGCCATGAATTCGCATTCTGTCAAGTATGAAACGTTGTAAATTCTAGAGCCTTTTTGTACAAATTTCCTTTGCTTTTAAAGTGTGGGTTATCCACCAGTGTGGGTAATTTGTTGACTTTTTTTTTTTTTTTTGCTGTATGCAATAATCGGCCGGTACGGGTAATCGGCAATGCAGGTAAAGAGCCAGAAATTACAAAAATACTTTAGTGGATGAAGTGGTCTAACTATCAGTGTGGTGGTCAAGAGTCATTTGGCAAATTTCCTTGTCAGTAATTAACAAATGGTAAACATCACAGCGTACACTATTGAGTTATGGATGCACGCGGGAGGTTGCTAAGCACGAAAGAAGCGTAAGAGTCGCTCGAGGCGATAGCCGAGAGCGACTCTAGCTTCTTGAGTGCTTAGCAAACCTCCCAAGTGCATCCATAACTCAATAGTGTACGCTGTGGTGTTTACCATTTGTTTTATAACATAACATTGATACATTGTAGCTAAAGAGTTCCCTTTTATTTAACAAATCTTACGTGACCAGAAAAAACAAGCGCGCGCGGAAAAATAGTCTTTGCATTTGCTCACGTCAGCAGCGTACACCCATGGGCAAATGGGGGACGCTAAATTGACCAATCAGAGCGCGCGCTTTACTTTGGTTATGTTATAAATTTATTTCTTGGTTTAGAAATCTTTCACTCGNACCACACCGCATCATTCCGCCACGCTAAACACAGAAACTCTACCGAACTCAGCAAGCACATCTGGACCCTCAAAGACAACAACATCGATCACTTTATTTCCTGGCGCATTCTCTCATCGCACTCACCGTATAACAGCTCAACTAAAAGATGTAACCTCTGCCTCAAAGAAAAATTCCTAATCATCTGCCGGCCCGAACTATCAACACTAAACAAACGTAATGAACTCGTGTCTTCATGCCGCCACAGAAGCAAAGCCCTCCTACGCAACAACTAAACTGTCAATTTCGCGCTGCATAAATTAGACTAGTTAGATCATGCAAATTATATTGTATATAAGCAATGGTAAAGTTTATTCTCATTAAATCCCCTGATGAGTGGGCGACCACGAAACAGGCTTGTAGGGATGAACTTGTAGTTTACTTGTCTTTTTCCTCCCACAATATATATATATATATATATATATATATATATATATAAAGTGTGACTTGATTTTCGTAGAACAGTGCTCAATACATAGAAGTAGAGCGAAGTATATATTGTGGGAGGAAAAATCCCCTGATGAGTGGGCGACCACGAAACAGGCTTGTAGGGATGAACTTGTAGTTTACTTGTCTTTTTCCTCCCACAATATATATATATATATATATATATATATATATATATATATATATATATATAAATAGAATAAATGTCTGGAAAGAAAATTTGCCCTGAGCGGGATTTGATGTGTTTGATGACCACTACACTATCAGGACAACCATGCTGGCAACACGGCAATCGAAGATGTGATTTACGTGATCGGAGACGTGGTCTCCCGGGAAACTTAATTTTCAAGGTGACAGGGTAGGGGAAGCCTATAACCCCATATGAAACCCAACTAAGGATCTATTAAAGATACACGACCGAAGTTGACTTCCTAGTGAGCATGCGCAATTGCAACAGGAATGACTCATCCTAGGCTCAATTTGGACATGAAAGCAAAGCTTTGTATGCCAAAGAGCTATATAATATTGGGAGAGGGAGGAATCAAACTATGCTTAAGACCTTGAAATCAATTCTCAATTCGCAATTCGACTAACGATATGTTTTGTGATGCTGGCAGCACTTTACATCTCCCTCAGCATAAAAACCGCGTTAATATACATGCTGGTTGCGAAATAAATCGATCCAATGATTTGCGCAGAAACGGATACGTCCAATTTCCACATTTTTCTAGAGGCAAGCTCTACTGTCAGGATAGCAGAGAGGTGGAAGAGGACGCCTCTTACTGCCTTTTTTTTTAATACTTAAGTATATTAATCTGTTGCCTGAAACCTGATTAACACTTGTTATAAAGACGCGTATACGAAAAAACTCCTTGCTATGCCAATTAAAGAGAACCTCCCCCGAGTGACTCAAAAAATAGTGCTCAAAGTGTTCCAAATGTACTTCTCAACAGATCTGACATAAAAAAAATTGCCTTACCAAGCAATCTGATTTTTCTTTTTTTTTAATCGTTTTCCAAAGAAGAGTCTTACGGCCACTTCGAATTTCCCGCGGCCGCCATCTTAATGGTGTGCAGTGCATTCTGGGCTGATGACGTATAATGGTTGGTCCCTTGGTAAGACAATATTGTTTTACGCCAGTCTTATTGAGAAGTACATTTGGAAACATTTTTAGCGCTATTTGTAAAGAGTGGAGGTTTCCTCTACCGTCCTTTGAACAGTCTAATCTCCTTTGCAGCCGTTCTTTGAGATGCCACGTAAAGTTTGTGACATTTTACAGGGGAACGACGAAGCTTTTTTTTTTCTTCGGGGGAGGGGGGGGTGCCATGTAAGGCTGTACATTTCACTGAAAAATAGCTGCGAATAGCCATGGGACCACGAACGACTCGTTCTTAACAGTGGACAGCGACATGGGGAAATGGAAATCTCAAGGACATCTTTTGAGTCATCCGCTCTCGAGGTGATGGTGTAACGAAACATAGGGCAGGCATGTGGGTCACGCAAATCACACTCCCCTATAACGAAAGCGTTTGCAAATCACTGAGGCAAGCAGACAATACAAAATACCATTTAATAAGTTCTTATAAACAGGTTCTGTACAACAGATTCATAATAAACCACACGGTATATAATATATCTTCAAATGAATTTCCATATTGTAAACGGTTTGATATTTCTATCACTTGTTCTCTCTTCATATTATTTGATTCTCAACGGTATTTTTGTCCTCGTCAAATGATTAAAATTTGGGTGGTGATTCTTCCTTCTTCCTTCCCACCGCCAAGACTGACAGAGGAAGCTAGGACCGAATTTAATTTGGTCTTGCCGCCTCTGTCTAAACCATGTTAACCAAGCCCCTACCGTTTAAAAATTCAGAATAAAACATACAAATTTAATAAGTTAAGCTGGAAAAATTTTTGTCATGGAAGATATTCTTAAAGCCGGGTCTAAAAAAATATTATATCTAGTTCAACTACTGATAAAAACTTTATGACCTTTTGTCTTAATAACTAGAGCAAAGCTTTGATTGGACGCCACGCCCACTTAAATTACCAAGAGAAGATAGGTGGTAGGAAATATCTATGAAGTAATATACTTTCAAGCGCTAAACGAATTTCAATTTGATTCGTGCTATTTATAAAATATTTTTAATAGTAGCTACTAGATCATGATATCTCGCCTGCGAAAAACAGTTGGCCATGATTCTTGATTGACGCCAGCGCCACTAATCCAGGGATTCTATGAACATGCGCGTAACCTTGCCTCCTGTTTAACCTGCCGAACAGATGTCAGGATAAGTTTGGTCTGAGTTGAGTCATTCATCCATACCGATAAGGACTCGCGTTGTCCTGGGAACAATGATGTCTTTCTTGACGTGCACTATTGAAAGCACTCTGACCTTTACTTAATTCACGACATGGAAATCTTCTAGCGCTTGACCCAAACAATGAAGTGGTGAAAATATCGTTAAAATTGTTCCGAGTATCTAAGATGCACCTTTTCTGCGAGCCAAATCCCTTATTTGGCCTCTGGTTAAATGGACGTTAAGTCGCTATGATAGTCATGTTCCTCACACGCTGACAGACCCGGTCCATTCAACTCGTTGGTAGAGTCTTCACACACTCCTGCTTGAACTGTTCGGAACCCGAGGAGATTCCGATAATTCCTTCCTACTCATGTCACAAAATTACTCCCAGCTTAGAAACAGGCACTTATTTGCTATGCAGACTGTTGAAATATCATTTCCAATCCTTCACGAGCTGACTTAACGTTCGGCACGCGATTTCTTCCATCTTGTCCTCAGGCAATCGCGGTCGAAATCACAGAAAAGGAGTCGAGGACTACAGAAGAACACTCGACCTGCCTCGTTAATAAACTGAACTCATACGCTTCTCTTTGCTCCTTTTCGAGCCTCGTAAACCGAAGCTTCTTCTTATAACAGATGTTCTGTTACCGAAGGATTCACCCTCTTCGTCCTCCTCCCTTAGATCAGCGCTTGATACAGGGTCTGGTAAACGCAAGGTGGGAGATGGAGGGGGCTTGATTTCTGTCGTGGACTGTGACTTCAGGAACGGTTTTTCTTTCTTCCCTACAAAATCAAACATAGTAAATTAACGTGACTTATTGGCCCGAACCTAATTCAGGTTTCCAAGGCCCTAACTACAGAGGGCTGATCATCGAGCGCTGGAAGTACCCCTCTAGAGCCCCGCTGGAGTTTAGCGCTTTCTCCAAGTTTCGCTCAGCTTATTCAATCAAGAAGTTGTGGAACTTGTCAGTCACTTAGAACCTGAACTACAAGAAACCACTACAAATGGACGACTGCCCTTGAATTTACTTTTCTTTGGTTTGCTAGCTTCTTTTACAATTTCCTATCAACATCTCATTTTTCTGGTTGGAGCAAAGCACTCTGTGAATGCAGGTCATACCAAAAACACCGTGAACCGGCCAGGGTTCGAATCTACTTCACTCAATCGGAGGAAAAGCGCTCGCATTACTTATGGGGTCAAACGAGTAATGAAAAAGGAAAAACAAATCTGAACTCACCGTTGACTTTCTTCTGTTTGACGGATGCTTTGGCAGCTGTCATGGCAGCTTTTCTGGTGTTTTGTGATATTATAAGACCTAAACCCAGAAATTTTAAATTACTTCAGTTAAAAAATAATGGTTTTTGTTATGCGAGGCGCCAATCTCTCTCGGAAGGAATGGCAAGATTTGATATATCACACAACAGCAATTCACACTAAAAATTTAAAACACATTACACTAAAACTCTTTAAATATAATTTGAGAGGATGGACAAACAACCAAAATAGGTGAAAAAAAGGAAAAAACAACGAGGATGGTCTAAAAGGGCAAAGATTAAACCCTAACATCAACATGCATATTCTCGATACTGTTCTCTATACATTTCCTAACTTTCTGAGGAGAATTTGTCTAAAAATCAACAGCTTCTTGCTGATCATTTCCTTTCTTCTCGTTACCTTAGTGTGTGATTTAGTCGTGATATTGTAAGGAGAAATTGGATGCTAGTCATTAATAGGGGTCCTCGGGTTAACACGGATTGCAAATAGAAAACTTGCCAAAAATTTGGCCCGAGCAAGTGGCCCCACCCTCTTAAGGAAAACTTGTCCTCCTCACCCCTCTCCACTAAAAAGAACGACGACTACAACAACAATCGAAAAGAAACGTGGAAGGAAGAAGTAAGCCCATGCTTGAGCGGGAAGGGGAATTAATTATAGATATATTGAGAAAATACTGAAGTATTCAGTAGGAGCAGGAGCTTTTATGGGCTCCTAGTAAAAGCCAATTACCTGTTTTCGCGTCTTCACTGACCCTGCGCCGTTCGTCCTTGAAGGCCTTCATCCATTTCTCTTTCTGAGCGGCTTTCTTGGTGTAGAAAATGTACCATTTCTCTTTCTTATAGTTGTAGATTTTCCACGCGTTATTCAACGGCGATCTATCTAAAGTTTCTAAAAAAATCAAACACAAAGACGGATTTCAGCTTGGCAAGCCTTTATGCGAACTTGGTAAGAGTTTATAGGTGTAACAGACCATCTTTGTTGAATTAAAAGTCGAGCTTAGACTTGGAATGCATTGGTTTTGCTGCACAACGCTCTGTGAGCGGTCAAGAACCTTGCATCCCTTAAACAATCAAATGCAAGACTGAAGCCCGCCGTGACTCTGCTTTTCGCCTTGCCAGTTGAGAACCGCTCACATGTAAACATTTTTAGTTAAGCTGGCTCCTCGTAACCTTCAGTTTAGCTTGGTTCTGATCGCCCTTTGGTATTAAAACATTAATTGGGAGAGTATTTCACATCTTATAAGGACAACAAATCTGAAACAAGATTGATTCATTCACCTTCTCCGTCATTCAACCAAACAACGGAACAGTCATCCATGTCAATTCTTCCCTTGTAGGTCAAACCATTCTTCTTCAAAATGTCCTGAAAATTAGCCAAAAAAATTTTTTTTAAGAAATTCTTTTAAAGTAGTTTCCTTAAAAGTTCCTTTTCAACATCGGAGAACTTGGAGACAACAAGCAGTCCCAATTTTTCGAGTCAAAAACCGATTCCGCAAAAACGAGAAAAAAATTATGTCAGCACGCTGCGTGGGACTCTGGAAGTAAGGCGCACGGAAATTAGTAATAGTACTGGCTTCACTCCCAGAGTTCCGCACGGCGCGCTTTCATCATACTTTTTTTAAAGCTGATTGCTTTTTCCACTGGCGCAACACATTTCGCCTATAAGGATATACTACGTGTAGCCGTACTGCCCCCCCCCCCAAGAGAAAAGTTTCTCCTCGGGTGGGGAGGGTACGGCTATAAGCAGGCTACTAAAAGCAGGGACTGCTCGAAGTCAAGAAGACGTGACAAAAGTTTTTCCTTAGACCTTAGTTCTCACCTTTTTACAATATACAAGTTGATGATCGAACAAAAACATAACACGATCTTGTGAGCTTCCATTGGAGGTCTTGATCACATCACCAGAATGAATCAGCTCAGAGCTCTTCTCTAACACATCCTCGCCCTTCAGGGAGGAAAAAAAGGTAAAAAGGCGTTCAATGAAACACCACTTCTACTACTAATTTCTCTCTGTAAAATGTTAGTCTAAAAGCTGAAGCCCTACCCCCTGGCACTTTTTCAGTTTCCGCTCGAAAACTGCCCTCGAAGTGAAATGGCAAAGTAGGATACAAGAGACAAAATTGTAATGTATTGTTCTCAATTTTTTTTTTTTTTCATTCTGTCAGAACGCTTTTCTTCTTTTCTCCTGCACAAGAAATCCTTTTTCGACAGCGACTCCCTGCATGCCTTAATTTCATCGTTTGTGACCCCCTATACATTTAAAATAAATTGTGCCCTGATCAAACGTAGCAAAATTAAATTTTTCTGTTAAACTGCCCTATTACTACCTTTCCCCTTCCCATCCCCCTGGGGTCGATCTTTACTCACCTCCCACCCTTCAATCGTGCTTTGCCACTTCGCGATCTTGTTAATACTCTCCACTTTTCTTTTCCGTTCGTTGATTAATGAGGCGACGTTTTTCATTGTATCTAGGGCTTGCTTCACCGTCTGAAAATCCTTGTGGGTTGCTATCGTGTGCTTCTTTAGCTCCTGAGCAAGGAGAAGAAAAACATCGAATTTGAACTAAAGAATGTATAAGTTGCTAAAAATTGAAAACACAAAAAAGGAACGGAAAACAGAACAAGGCCCTACATATTCTAGCCAGATAAAACGGACAAGTTGCCTCAATAAAATATTTATCATAGGAAAGATCGCTCCAAAAAACTTCGCTTTTTAATCTCTAACCCGTTCAAGAAGCCAGCCCTTAATACGCGTGCTAGAAGACCAACAGACTGACTATCTTCTTTGCTAACGTGGTCTAACGCGAGTGGCAATCTTGGTATGAGCTTCTACTCGGGGTGGAGGGGAGAGGTTCCTCCAAAATCCAACAAGGTTCGCCCTAGTTGGCACCATTTGAACCATATTCTCCGAAATGGCGCGAGTGTAAAGAATTTCCGTTTTCTTAGACAATGCTCTGCTGTCAGCATCAAAATGCCTTAGCTACTACACCACCAGGCCATAAAAATAATCCATGACTGATCGAACAGGAAGATACTGAGTAAAAAACAAAGAAAACTTACCGCCAGCTGCAAAGGGTATTTGCAGATCTTTTGAACTGGAGTCAATAAAAACCCGTCAAGTGATATCTTAATCATCTCCTGAAGGAGACGACAAGCCTAGTGGTAGACCAAAAATATGATTTAATAAGTAATGACAAATAAACGAGTGAAGAAATGCGACTTCAAGCTATTGACTGGCAATGAACGATGAGGTTTCATTCTGTACAAGAGAAAGCAATAACAGCAAAAAAAAATTGCACGATTCCAAGGGGTTAAAAATCATTTTATACCTCAAAGAATTGCTTGTATTTGTTACTTTCACTCAGTGTCTTCAGCTCTGCCATAGCGTGGGGATGGTTGTTGCAATACTCCGAGTAAATATCGAAGCCCTTCCTCTGTGAAGCGAAAAATTAACAAAAAAAGGTAAAAAAAAGTTCAGAAACGAATGATCTGTCTCCAAATAGCACGATGATTGGCTAATCTGAAAATGGCGTGCAAGTAATGAACCAATAAGACTCTACAGGGAATGCACGCAATCCCCAGTCAGCACAAAGCGCGGGAAAATGCGATTGAGGAAGTCACGTGAGACTTCAGTTCGATACATGATTGGCTGAAACAGCAATCTGGGTTTAAATGAAGCTACAATATGGTATGCGAGACAGACGTACATTATTCAGAAACACGGCGCCAATCTCAGACGCACACGGGTCTCCTTCCACAAAACAATCTTCCAGTTGCCTCAAGATTTCTTGGTGAAATTGATATATCTGTTCAATATTAGCAAAGATCTTGGTAATCTGTTCCTCGTTAAACATGTCCGTTCTTTTTCTGGCTTGTTTAAGATAACCCTGCGAAAAGAAATTAAAAATTTCATTTTAAAGGCGCAAAGTCGTGAATGATACCGAGACAATTGTAACTGAGCATGAGTAAAAGTAAAGGAAGGAACTGGCGGGGAAAGAGACTGGAGAGAGGGAAGGGGAAATAGAAAAGCGTTTGCACACTCGAGAAACGACTATGCCCCAGCTCACCTCGACCACATCTTCCAAGTTCTTGACATAGTCTCTCTCAGTGTTAAGGATTTCCTGGACGACACGTGACCTGACGTCATTGTCTGAAAGAAATCCCTCATTGGTTCCTTTTCTGGTTCGCACGGGGGGAGCAAGTTTAGTTTCGTCCGCAGCCAACGTCTGTGACACTCGAACCTAACAGAGCGAATTGGTATCAGATTTGCTACTGAATTCTTTGTGTGTGACAACTTCTTCAGGACTATGAATATAGCTGAGGGCCGGGTTTTTCAAAGCTGGATTAAGATAACCCAGGGTTACTGTAAAATCTGATTTCAGATCTGAAAGCTTTAAAAGGAAATTCAGTGGAATTCTTTTTGTCTACAACTTGGTGATTGGATGCTTTAAAAAGTGTAAGGAATATTATCCCAAAAAAGACTTTTGAACAAAGGATTAAAGAAACCCTGATTAGAATTAACCTTGGGTCAACTGGGCCCAGTTGGAACGAAATTATTGTAAGTGTAAATCGCATCTCAATAAATTCCCCCAGTGATGCCGTAATGAGAACCGATTTAATCATATTTTCTTAATATTAAGGGACAAGAAGAAAATTTCAACAGGAAATGAATGACAGGGAGCGACATTTTATCCCAGTTCTTCAGAAACTCTCTACTCACCCGAACAAACGGCGCAGGAAACCAACCAACCCGATCGCCAACCTGTCCGAACCACCAGTCACATGACGTCATGGTCAGCACTGTAATGATGTCACCCACTTGGAAACTCAGCTCCTCTGGGTCCATGGTCACGTGATCCCACAGGGCCTCTGCAAATGCTTCCGGTACATCCATCTATTGCGTAACCGGAAATAAGAAAAGTGAGTTGGACTTTGTTCGCGCGCGTAAAACATTTCGTGGAGCTTCCTTATATTGATCTAAAAGAAACAGGGCTGATACTGTACTGACGATGTTTGTTTGATATATTTTTCGACTACTACTGCCTTCGCGAAGTAGTTTATGACGCGCGTGAGGTTCCTTTTTACGTGCTTAAACGATAGCCGAGATATATAACCACTTTGCAGGCACGTTACTACTACAGCAATCTTTGCAGTAAACACTTGTAAGGTCAAAACACTTTGATTTTTTTTTTTTTTTTACAATATTTACACCCCATAGTGCGAAACCCACCAAGAAACTAAGCCGACATTTGTATTTATTTTTAACAAATCATATTGGACCCTCTTCGCCAATCTCAAGGCAATTTTAGACCAACTTGTAGATTTTAAAATGAAATCACATTCTATTAAGATAACAAAAGTGAAATTGGCCAACCAGGGAAAGATTTGCATCAACGTGAAAAGGCATGGAATTCGTTTATCTCGTAAAAATCGTTGAAGTTTAAGTATTCTAATTTGAATCATCTGTTCTTCAAAAGTAGAACTGGCGAGTTAAACAAATCGAAAATGTCATTTGAATCATCTGTTCTTCAAAAGTAGAACTGGCGAAGAGCACCGCTATCAATGCAATCTTCTTTGTTTATGTTTCACTAAAGAATTGATCCAAGTGAGGTCAAGCGAAATTCTTGCGCGTCTTCGCTGAAGTTCCATCATCTCGGACAGGGAAGGTTTGAGTATTTAGATGCTTTCATGTAGCTTCTGTATCACAACGTGAGTTCAACCTCGCAAAAATCAAAAATCGAAAAGAATCCAGTTTACAAAATGTTCAAATATAAAATGACTGCGTCAAATATAGGCACGAAAAACTGAAATGACATAATTTTTTTTAAATTGTAGAAATGAGCCCTTCTAGTACTCACACGTTTTTTGAGATACATATTATACTATATCAATTTCAACCAGCTAAACATACAAAGGTAAACTACAATTTTCCCGATGATATACGTAAACATTTCTAGGGAGGAAAGAGGGCGACATATTTATTCCAACTGGCGAAAAAGTTTAACTATAGTGTACTTTTTTCCATTTTCTAATATTCCAAATGCCAGCATTTAGACGCGTTCGCACAATACTCGACCCATCTTTTAGGCCAACACGAGAGAAACAGTGTTACGTACTGTTCAGGTATTTTGACAAAAATCGACAATGTTAGTTATGGATTGAGAAGGGCAGAAACGAAAGTGAAAAAAGTGATCGATGTTTTCTCGAATCAAGACTGTAAGAAGATCACAATTCAAACGAAAGCGGTCGGATAAAGAAATGCAAATGAAATGACTCTGCCAAGTTCGGCACCTTCTCTAGAAAAATATTCCCACGGCCATTAAATGAAAGTTAATGGTAATGAATTAAATATTAGAAGTGTCACAATTAAGAAACAATTAAAACTCTGCGAAGAACCTCTGGAATGCGTTTTTCTTCTTTGAACAGTCTCCAAGTAAACGAAGACATGACCGCTTTCACGAAAGACAAAAACAATGAAGTTGTTGGTGATCGAAATAAATCATTATGGTTAAAGTCCAGTTTAAAGCACATCGATTCCAACCAAAGCTATTTATAGTTTGTTTGCGCATTGATTTTGACGCATTTAAGCTTTTAGCACCAACGAAGGAAATGTGTTTTTACAGCGTCGGTAATTGATATTAAATGGCTAAAGTCTGGAGGGAAGAAGTAAGAATGAAAACATTGAACAGTACAAGCTAATGCGCGTGGTAAATTGCCAACTTCGCGAATGCGTTTAAAATTCTTAATTTTGACGCTGGATTAAACACGATCTGGATTACTTCAGTTTACCCATCGATGAAATAAAATTCTAACTCTCAAGGTGTAAAAACCGTTTTGACATGAATGCGGCTTTGGTGTACATAAACAAAGTTCAATTTAAAGCTATTAGCTGTATCGCGTACAAATGTACTTTCCGTCTTTTTGTGTTCTTGTCTGATTTGGTGAATGACAGCTTTTTTAAGTTTTTCAAGAGCGCCATTTTAATTTGGAACATTCATATGTCCATCATCGCCGAATGGAAACAAATGTACGGTTGCATATGTCGAAGTCCAACTTGTTGGCGTAACTTGATCATTAGAGCAAGTTGTAAAGTCGCTGATGGAGACAAGCTTTTTATAATTATCCTTAATGACAATATCTTAGCGTTTGACAAGACTCGTGATTTCTCGTATGCTACGCTAGTCAAGCATTTCAAACCACATGACCGGCCACTTGGATAGAATAGAAATTAACAGAATCATAATTGATAAAAAAGAAAAAGAGAGTTGAACGTGGGAAAATATATTTCAAAGCGGTGCTTGCATATGAAATCATTCTACAAAGAATATCGACTGCGATATCAGACCTGGATTAACTTTACAGACTAATGCATCGTCAATAATAGCGATTGGACAGACGATACGGAAATAATCTTACCTGGTAATATTACGCCGAGCTGTAAGCTTACGGGTCTAACAACCAAAGGGAGCGGACATTGCATTAAATCCAAACTGCCATATCAGGCTTGAGTACCTGATTATCTTTCTACAAGGTGGCAATTTGAGTGAAGAGCGCTTACAATCGACAATGACTTCTGATCGTCGCTGCTAGCGACTTTTCAACGTGGTCGTCAGCGAGCAATTGACTGTGAAAGCAGCTTTGGTTGAGTTTATAAACAAAACAGGGCTCTGCCTGGCACTAACTTAGCAAGCAAACCACCGAAATACGATCTCGGAATCCATCGTTCACTTTGTTTGTTTGCGATTGACAGAATCGCTGAATAGCGTCAATAATGCTAATTCAGCTTTGATTTTTCAAAGCCTCGGGCAAGGCTGTCAACATACAACATCCAGTTTGATATATGTCGTTCCACGATTGCGGCATGACTACAAACCTCCGGTAATTTGCAAAGATAAGCTACACTATTACAATTACCTTTCAACGTTAAATTTGCTTTTCTGTCCCTAAATATCTGTTGATAACCTTTGCTTGGTATTTAACACATTCTTTGTTTTTTTTTCTCCCTAAAAAACTATTATAATTTAATGAAGGTAAATTCATGTAAAAAGTGACTGTATTTGAAAAGATCATATGTGGGTTTTTATGCCGCAATACAATAGTTTTCCAGTGAAACAGATTACTAAACAATCGTAATAACCCTCTTGAGGATTTTAAGATTGAGTCAATTTATCATTCAAATAAAAAGTGGATTAACACGATCGCCTTCAAGCAGTTTGCTGACTGAAAATAAAAGGGGAAAAAATGCACTTTTGCAACCTTTGCATACGACTCAAAGGCCGATTAGAAAGAGGTGGAGTTGCATCAAAACACTTCTGAAAGAACTTGACCAAGTTCTTATGAATTCAAAAAAAGATCTCCAATAGTTTAAAAGTTGATTGTGCGTTCTTCGGCAATCAATTTGCATGAATGTGAAAAAATTACCAACAACTTCTCAGTTTTCTCTCGGATCATTGCTCTAGGGGTTTCCCAGTACCAATTGAAAATGAGGACGGGATGTCTCAATTTGCGACCAGTAAAGTTGAAACTGAATGAAACCCCCTCAGTTGAAGGGTTCAGTTGTAAAATATTCAGTCAACATGGAAAAAAAATGAACTTTGACAAACAAATAAATATTACATGTAAGAGTTTTGAAATCTTAAACTGTAACCAAAATTGAGAATTTATTGTCCGGAGGATAAAATCTGCCCCTTAATAATCAAAATGCTTATCAAAACCTCATTACTATACTGAAATGTGAGGGTCTTATGAAAGAAATTTCCAGGCCCAACATAAAAAAAAATTTATGTGCCTGATGATAAGGAAATTGAAAATTGCTGGAGAATGAAAAAATCCAAGAAAATAGTGACTGCTTACACCCCCCAGGGTCTCATGGGTAATGCTCCTTACTGTTTGCTATACCATTCTGATACTTCTAGTGCAGAGAATTTGGTTTTGGATCAATTAATAATTCCCTGACTGATATTCTTCTATATTCTCATTACTTGTCTGCTTGATATTGTATTGATACCGTGGGGAGAAATTCTGCCTTGGTCACTCATGGGAGTAGGATAATTAAAAATGATAGAGTGAATTAATGATTCATTGCTGGATTAATTCCTTCATCAAATGAAGGAAAAGGAGAATGAAATAGGGAATTAACCAATGGGTGAAAGAAACCTTTAGTTTATCAAATTATTACCATTCGTCACTGGCCCACAACACATTATTTTTTCACTCATTGTCAAAATGTTTGGTGGAATGAGTGTTCTTGTACTTTATACTAAAAGTTACTTCAGTCATCTATGAAAAGAAGAAACATCTTTCGCATCATACCTCATCATCCTCCAGATCACTATTCTCTCCAGACGGGTAAGTCCAGTCCACTGAAGAATGTTCCTCTGGGATGGGTGAAGGCTGAAGGTTGTCAGCGCCAAGAAGTCCAGGCACACTGCGTGAACGACCCAAACTCTGATCAAAGGCAATAGGAAGAGACAACTGAGATGCAAAAGAGAAGCTGCTTCCAAGTTCATTCTCGGTGAATGATGAAGACGAGTTCAGAGATTGCATTGAACTGTTGCAACTATCCAATGGGCTTTCGTCACAATGAGATCTGTGCAGCATAGGTGGAAGCTTCAGGAAACTATCATCACCATAACCACCATAGGAATGGCGCTTGCCCTTGTCAATCATATCATTGAACACATTGTCGACACAAGAAAGTGATGTGGTGTGTTTCATCCTGGTTTTGCGCATAATGCTTTTCTTCTTCTTCAGGATGACCTCTGCAGTGCATGGCGGTAGTTGTTCAAGACTCTGAATTCGTGGTCGAACATAAGGTGGGCTGGTGCATGATATCGTGTCATCATCCTCATTACTGTCCAGTTGAGAGCAAGAAACAGAACGACTTTCTGTCTGTAGCACCTGTTGTACTGGTGACCTGTGATGTATCCGTGTACTATAAGAACGTTGCCTATGCTGTGGTGATTCAGGGCTCAAACGGTCAACAGTTCCTCCATTTTTCTCACCATCTTCCCATGGGGAGGACTTTGTTTCAAATCCACTGTTTTCAACAACTGAGTCATTTTCACAACTGTTTTCCAAATGCAAGCTACATGATGACAAACTGTCCCTTCTATATTCTGAGAAGAATTTTTGCGTTAAATTAAGTATGTGTAATTTTCTAATGTCTGGAAAGCTGTTATACATTGCTTGTTTGTGAAGTGAAGGTCCCACCGGCAAGCAAGGCAAACTCTTCACTTTGAGACTTCTAGCCAATCCTTGGCGGCCCTTAAAATTCTCACGTAAGCCGCTGGTAATTAATTCAGAAGATGTACATGTATTATCACGCAACTTTTCTTCTTTCAAGTTCGCGGGACTCGGCGAAGGATCAGGACACACAGGAGAGTATCTTGTTAATTCAGTGCTCGTTACCTCGTTTCTTGTTTTCCGGCAAGATAAACAAACTCCTTGTTGTGATGTTTCATTGTCCTCGGTTTGTCCAAAAGTCGGAGAACAAAAGTTTTCCTCGTAAACTATTTCTTCTTTGTTTATTTTGTCTACCGGTAAACTTCCACTGTTCTCACAGATTGTATTTTCCTCAGCAGTTTGGTTTTCCTCGGGCAGACTTTCGTCAGTGATTACGCGAGTTGTGGAATTAACAGAGGAAAAATCTTGTGAATAATTGTTTTCGTGAAAGGCATAAATCATCTTTTCACGCAAAGCAAGCGCTTCACTACCCTCGCACAAAGGAGTTGATTTGTCTTTTGTAAGTTCATTACCCAGACAGCCGTGGCTTAGCAGGTAATTCCGTCTTTCAAGTTCTCTTTCGAAACATTCCATATATTCAGGCTGTTGGATAAAATGATCCACATCGCCATCCAGTTTATGGTTGAAAGTTTTTCCGTTTTTCCTTTGAGGTCGAAGGATCGATAGTTTGAATTTGGAATCTTTGGAACAATACTTCCGCGGTTTTTGAAGCTCTTGCACCCCAAACGATAGGCTATTTCCCATTTCGGACGCCGCGAACTCAGTGCATTCGACAGTTTCAGAAGATAAATCTCTCTCCTCGACAAAAATAGTCTGCGCCCTGAGACTATCACACTCCAACTGAGCACTGCTTTCTTCTTCCGTTGCAATATCAGTCTTCAATTCAAAGAAAATTGGCGATCCAATATTCAAGGAGTCTTCGTGAGCAGAATTTGACAGGATAGGAGGAGCTGAACGTCGTTTCCATGCGTCACAACTCCTTTCGGCATCGCGGGTGATATTTCGCCTCTTTTCGAACTGTACGCCACTTCTTGGAGTACCACTTGAAAATGAGTCCGCCACTTCTGTTTCTCTGCACGAATGCGGAGAGGTCTTCATACTTTGATAGTATGCAGGTCCCGTTTCAATTGTTACTGACCCAGAGGAATCAGGCTTAAATTCAACCGTAAGTGATCTCTCAAAACACCCGCGACTTTCATGATATTCCTCCACCTGTATACATGGTGGAATGGCAGCTAATGTTCGCGATTTTTCCATGAGTGGTTCCGTGCACGGTTGCAAAGAATAGTCCATAGAGAGCGACCTGGAAATGTTGTTGTTCGGATAAACCAGCGATCTTTTCGAGCGTTTCAACGAATAATACTTGCTCTCTTTACAACGGGAATCGTTTTCACAATAAGAGTCAATGGATGAGGTACTGACAACAATATCTGTTACCAATGTATCGAAATTAGTGTTGTTACTATCTGTCGATAAATGGTTCGATGACGAAGACTGAGGTGCAGTGAAAGACAAACTTTTCCCACGGTCATTCTCGTTCTTTGAATGACTAGCTCGCTTAAATAAATTCGTAAGTATACTTAAGCTCTTAGACTTTGAGAGAGATGTCTTTTCAGTGTTTGTCTTTGCCCTTTGTCGCTTTGATCTGAATGTTTTCTTGTGCAGGTATGATCTTTCGTGACCGCAACTTGGCAGTTCACTGACGAGTTCATTTGCAGCAGGGCTCGAAGTTGATCCCGCGGAATTTTTCTTTTTCTTCCGAGAATTATTGACGTTTGTTTTGTTTTGCTCAACTTTCCGACTATCAAAACTATAGCTGTCAAATGATGTTTTCCCATTCACGTTATGTGAGTGCGAGCTTGTTTTCTTCGCATTAAGCTGTTTGTGTGACACTCCATTTTGTTTTTTCTTCGCGGGCAAAATTTCTCGGCTCACGTGCTTTGCGGTAAAATTCACACAGCCATTTGGATGATCCTGCCACAGGTCACTTCTATATTCTCCAGTAATAAAAGAGGCTGATCGTGGCGAATCTTCCTTCTTAATTCGTAGCGACTTTCTTAACGAACTTTGGAATCTCTGCAGCCGTGATTTCCACTGCTTCGGATATTCGGGTAGCGCCATACCACTTTGATTTTCTAACGGTTTGGATGACATTGTTGGGGTTTTCATCGAATAGTGACCATGTACTCTTCCGTATCTTTCCTTTTCAAACGATTGAGAAGCGGCCCCTGACCACAGCTCCTGCGTAAACAAATGTCCAAATTTACAATAATATTGGGAAATAATGACAGCAACTAATACGAAGACAACCAAGAAAGCGCTACTAACGAACAATTTCGACTCGAATTGATCACAAGTTTCCGGAGTGGAAAATTCTTTTAATTGTATCCATCTCACGGCGAACTGTCGAAGGTCAAGCTAAGGCCGATCACCTCAAAATTTTTGCAGTTTCCTCGTGAAGAGTTGAACGAATAATAATTTTTTTAAGTGACAACTTCAATCATGTCAAAGCATCCTTCAGGGAAACTGTGCGCACTGGTCGAATTTACATCTGGTGTATATTTCAGATGATTTTGATGGCTTCCAGTTACCTCGACGTGTAGATGAATTTCGTGTTCAAAAATTTCTTGTCGTGCGATTTAAACGAGGAGGCGGTAAAATTGATCAGTAATCAACGTTTTTAACTTAACTATTTCGTGAATAATACAATTTTAGAAAGCACTAGAAATTTGCATACCACGGGTCGTAATAAACAAAAAACCCATAATTAAAAAAGATTTTGTTTTAGAAACACGGCACTCAATTGGCTCAACAAAGTTGCCAACAAAAGATAGATTAGGAAGGGAAACATTTGCATGGATGCCATTTGGACACGATATCGCCAACGAATGTAAAATAAACAAATAGGTGAAAATGAAATCACCCTCATTAAAACAATTGTTTGTTTACGACCTTACCAAAGGTGTTAATTCCTCGGACTAATTCTCGATTGATCTGTTCTCTGACAAGGAGTTCAGCGGCTAAAAGTAACAGGAAAACGCGGCTACTTTCTCAGACGAGCTTTAGACGAAAAGAGCGCCTAAAGCAATATTACGTACCAAACAATGCAAATTGTGAATTCGTTTTGTTTCACAGACAAATTGAGCACATGACATCAAAAGCCAAAGAACCCGGCCTTAGACTACCTGCGGTGAGTCAGCTAGATGACCCGTAGAGATTTTATCCAGAACCAATTGAGCGAGCAGTGATGATAAAATCTGCTATGGTAACTCCATCAGCGATGACAAATAAAGAGGCCACCACTTTATCAGAGAGAATACATACCAATTGAAAGCTTTTAACATGCGCTTATCTTACATTTTTTCACTGCAAGTCGAAGAGAAAAATAACAGAAATTATTCCGATGCGGACAGGGTCTCCAATTTTAAAGACAAGCAGAATGGAAAGGATTTTTTCCTCGTTTGTATATTTATTTGTTTATTTTTTCTAAGCCAAGGACTTGTGCCGGCGGCTTTCAAGCGCTTTTCACGATAAACATCAGCTACAAACAAACAACAAGATGAACTTGTTTATCATCCCAATGCTCTTGCAAAGGTTGCAAGACCCCTTAAAAGATCATTCCATCATAGAAATAAAAACTACAGCCGAAGACAAACGACGAAACCAAGTACGGTAAGAAAAACGCGGCGATATCTTTAATCATATTTGCGTACTTTCCTTGCAGGAAAAAATCCTAATTTGTCTAAAGCCGGACAAGAAAAAGCCTGCAGCAACTCCGATCACCAAAGTATAATTCTGTCGGATCTTTGAAATTCAAATTTAACTGCAACTTCGTAATTTGGCGGTAACTATTGAATGTTCAAAATCAAGTGGCTCCAAGGCAATTTATTTTCACCCTTTGTTTGATTTCCTTTCTCAAGCGAGTGAAAGGAATTCTTTTTGTCAACTCTTTTCCGCTTTCTTGACCAGACCACTTAATCAGTTTACACTGAACGTGAAGGAACTTTCCCACGACACTAGGCCTAACAAAGAGATATTATTATGTCACAGATCAACAATCCTAGGGCGGAAGTGACTTCATTTATTTCTCTCTCCCCCCCTCTCTCTCTCTCTGTCTGTGTGCTCTCTTGGCATACTTCGCTCGCCACGTATGTGCAAGTGTGAGTGAACTCTTGATCGCTTCGACGCCACTTTGCTTCATAAACACTGGAAAGTCACTTGCCATCAGATAGAACGTTCAGTTCTGTTGTTTTTGGTCTCAGTTCTCTGTATGTATTACCACTTTTCTTCTTTTTTCAATTTAGCTTACTCGCCCCTTTCAATTTTATTTAATGCCGGATTTTTACGCCGTTTTGCAATCCCAAGCGCACAGTCTTATGTTCCAGTTTCCACGGCACTTTTCGATAACACACGTTTAAGTTGATGAGGTCAGCTCGAGAACAATCATCATGATTATGTTCATCATTGTTGTCAACATCAGTCAATAAAAGCATCAACCAACCAGAGTGGCCCGAACGCACTGTTTTATCATTGTTGGCCTACTGTGGCTTAGCCATAGATTGTGCGACTTCTGCCATTCGCTAGTGCTTTTAAATCTCCTGCCCTCAAAGTTAAGCTCATATTAAAATATCTCTTATGACTTTTCTTTGCGATTTAATAACTGAATAAGGGTCAATTTTAAGATGTCATTTCGCCATCTGTGTATTCTTGAGGTTTGGCAAAGCCGGGTGAGATTGTGTCACAAAAGGCAATATTCTTCTGTACGCGCGCTATTTTCTCTGCTTTTAAGTATACTTTCTCTCGTGCAGAAAATGACTTCAGAGATATGTTTCCCGATGTAAGTCATGGAACACCATCGCGGGTGGATGAATTACTGCGTAAATTACGTCACTATCAACAGAATGTGCCGCAGCATTCTACCATCTTTTAGATACACTAGTATTTATTAGTGTTAATATAAGGTCATAAACGAAATCGCCCGTACGGGCCGAAGGAAACTATAGCAGTATTAGTCTTATCTCAAATGATGGAGCACTAAAGCCTTCTCATGAAGTGTTTCGCGTCACATCTCTTCAGTAGCAAGTGTTTTTCTCTTGGTTACAGCTATTCTTGACGCAGGTGTTTTGAAGAGTTTCATGAATGGTACACTCCATGCCGGAGAATTTGATTTGAATCAAAATAATAAAAATAAAGAAATTAATCTTGGTCTCTTCTGTTTTTTTCCTACCAAAGGATTTCAGGTTTGTATGGTGAGATCGCTGACCGCGATAAACTTGTAACTGTAGACTCAGCCAAGTCTGGTTTTCATACGCGAGAAAAAGACGCTGTAGTGAAACAGCAAGTAATCGACATCCAGTAATACTTTTATGGCTGTTAATTTGCCATAATGACTTCTTCAATACTACTTCTCTTATATGAATGCAATGATTACAAATCATCGAGACTTTTTATATTGTTGAGCCGCTAAGTTTACAGAAAGCCTGAGGTCTAAAGTATTTTTTGACCGACCCACTCTACAAAGTGAGAAAAACCCAAGAGCCCGCGTTTTCAGTCATCTCTGCTGTTTCGAGTAATTTTCCTCGCTTGCGTAAGCAAAAAAACTTCTTTTCGTCTCGAAAAGAAAAGAAAAAAAAAACAAGATAAACGGGTATCAAACAAACATCAAACGGCGCGCAATATAACTTAAACAAATCTTTGATTATGATATACCGGCAATCAAACATGTGTGTAAAATGGAAAAAGCAACATCGAAAACACGCTAAACATATTGCAGGACTACCGAGTCAATTTAACTGGGTTCACAGCCTTTGGTTGTTGACAGGAGATTCCAAGGCCAAGCATATATCCAGTATATAATAACGTCCTTTTAACCCCTTCCTTCTTAAAGGTGATTAAAGAATAATTTCCCACTGCAATATTCATGACTGATTATATAGCAAACGAGTGGAAGAGTAGACAAAGTTATTAGCTGATGAGGGTTTTTCCTGTGATGACACTCTTGAAATTCTCTCTTAACTTATCTACAAGGAAATGCAGTCGGATGGTGATTAGTTCAAGCATCAGATGTTGTATCTTGGGAGGTACACTACAAAATTTTCAAGACAAATCAATGCACAACGCAAGGGAAACCATGTCATGATATAAAATATATTGAGCGTAATCTACACTTTCAAAGTAGACTTTCTCTACAGCTTGAGACCAGTGTGCAGTTATTTGTGTTTGAGGCTCTTCGACCACTAAGAGAGATTAACATCTTATTTCTCCGTAAAATATCACCTCTGAATCAAGTATAGAGGTTTTTGCACAGCAGCCATGTTGGATGGCAGGAACAATAGATTATTTTACCCATGAGAAAAAATTTTCTTTCTTATGCAAAATATTTTCACTGTTCCTGCCATCCAACATGGCTGCTGTGCAAAACCTCTACTAAGGTTACGAGAATAAAGTAAATGATCACATACTAAAGAAGCTTTTGATTGTCTAAGAAATTCTTCATGTCAACATGCTAATAAATATGTGGAAAAGAGTACAGAGAATACGCATACGGATGTTAGGGCCGTAACTGACCAAACACATCTTGTCCTGAATGATAAGCTGCTAATTGTATATTTTGTTTTATGGAAGGCCAGACTGCTAAATATTATTGTGGCATTGTTTTATACTCTGAAATGTCCTGGTAAAATAAAAACAAAGATATCAAACATCTCCGTGTAGAATTGCTTCACTGTAAATACAGTCGCTATTGCGTGCTTGAAATTTAAGCGATTTTGTTAGGCATCTAATATAATAAAGTTGAGTTCAGCAACCTATATGAAATAGCCGAAACATGTAATCAATCGTATTGTTCGCATCGAGCTTGCCAATGATCTATGCCAAACAATATCGGTGGTAGCGAGTTCCCAATCTCCTCGACCTCTCTTCCGCCATAGCCCTCCTCTTGTTTATATCCTCTTGTTTATAACGGTGGGAACGCACGCAACATAAATCCATCAGACGGAGTTCATCCCTAATGTAGCTAACATCCGTAGAGATTTAATTGTGGGAATGTTAGTCCAAGCAGTTTTAGGTATAACATTCTGGTGTTTTGATCGGATAACGATAATAGATGATAGTTTATGGGCAATTAGTTCGCAACACTACACTCATATATTTTAATTCGATCTAATCTGTGTTACATAAGGAGGAACAATTCACGTGCTAGGCGCGTTAACACCTGATAGCACACTGGAAAGTACGGGGCGTCCTTTAGTCTGGATTCTCCGTGGTTGGGAAGGCCGTCATCATCCCTTAAAATCAGCTCACAAATAAACTTTTGTGTGTCGTAAAAAGTTACTTATTTGAATCAAATCATGCTCAAAATAGAAAAAAAAATTCAAAAGCCGAGAATCCTACGAACAAAATTGAGAAACGGCACAATCCGAGGCACCTTTACTACTTTATCTTTAAACTTACCACTCGGTCGAATTTGCCTGAAAAATATGTATCAACATTCTTTCGTCTCGCTATTCCGGATTATGGTTTTCTCTTGCCAGCTTTGGCACAACCTCGAGTATCGGGTTTACAAAGGTTAAAGTTATTTGCGGTTTTCATAAGCTGCAAATAAGCATGACGTAAATAACTGAGAAATTTAAGCGAATGTTGAAGTTTTTCCAACTTTGAGCAGAAATTGTTGTTGCAAGTTTTTTTCGTGTCTGTGAAAACAACGCGGGATTATCAAAAGAGAGATTCCTTCTGTTTATTCAAACAGGTCGAAATATTTGATCGAGAAATAAAACTTACTTTGAATTAGTTCTATGATTTGAATACGCAGCCCTTGGCCAAAAGATAGCGAGTGCAGCATATAGGGATGGCGAATGATCGGAGCGAACGAACACTGGAGGGTTTCTCAGTCCAGGGATTACAAACTTGCTAATGCATGATTTATATCTTCAAACATAGCATGAGATAAGTTATTCAATAAGTATCCATCCGTTTGGATAAGTGAATTTACAACTTCGCTAGATAAACCATGTGAAGAACCGACTAAAACGTGTACCGACTTGTAATACATATGAAAAGAAACTGTTTATCAGTTCTGAAGAAACCGAACTACCACCGAATCCTCGAAAGATTCTTACAGACTTACCTTTCTTCTGCGACCTTTCATTGTAACCAACGAGCAGGCAGACAAGTAAATCTCAAAAACCAACCCGTCATAACTGCGCCAAGATCATAGAATGATTGATTCTTCATTATGCATTGTGTGAAAGTTCACCCTGATTCAACGAAGATGTCAACCCTAAATCTGTTTTTGCTGAAAGAATCTCTGCTTCTTAACCTAGAATTAGAATATTCTATAATCCAAATGCATAAGATCAATTGCTTAACAAATAGCCCACGATTTATGCCTAGAAGTGCCAATCAAAAGAATTCAGTGAAGTAGTGTTGTGATACTTCCTTTGCTCTTAAGTAATTCGAGACTGTAAAACCGCAGAAAGTTCAACAAGTCATCGGTAATCAAGAACTCTTTGAATGACGATGCGACCTGGGATGAAGAATTATAGAAACAAAAATAAAGAAAAAGGTCTTCAAGAGTTCAATTACTTTTTTATTCGAAAGAATTAGCACAATCACTGAAGAAAAGGGTGTTGCAAAATCTCTCTCTCTCTCTCTCTCTCTCTCTTGCAGTCAGTCGATGCGACTATGACTGTCCTATGGAAAAAAATTAAAACAGCATACAGTTGCATATTCTGTTCTATATATTTCTCTCGGATCTGCCGGAGGCTATAGATCATGTACTTCGGTTGCTTCGAAATCCGCACTGAGTCTCACGCATGATGTTAGGAATTATCTTGGGGAAAAAACCGAAGGTATGCCTCTTGATTAACCTCCGTGTAATTTTGGCTTTATCAAATGAGTTGATGTTGTCAACTGGCCACCGTAAAGAGTTTTAAAGCTGACGTACGTTTCGAGCGTTAGCCCTTCGTCCATTCGCTCTAACGAAGGGCCAACGCCGCTCCAAACGTCAGCTAGGAAACACTTAACGGTGGCTTATTTACATTATCAACTTAGATGATTAAACCAAAATTGCCTTGTCACTCCCACCGACTCAGCACCACAGTTTCTTTAGAAACTTACCCCCTCTAACCTTGGCGTAGAAGGCTTGCCTAACAAAGTTTTTGCAGACCCAAAGGCAGTGAAACATACTGTGTAATTTTATAATCTTATCGCCAAAATACCGCTCATAAACAAAGAGACAAACAGCAGAATAAACAGGAAAGTTAAAACAACCTATCCTAACAAATCACTAAATAAAAGAAATTATCTAAACAAAAAATCACCCTGATATTTGTACATTGTTACGCGCTTCCTTCGCTCGTTGCAACTGTAAAAAAACATCATAAAAATATTACTCTTTACGAAACGAAATGTCATGGTTGAAAAAAAAAAAAAAATCAAGAACTAAAAACCTGGTTAACCGTGATCAACCATAATATGAACAACACATATATTGAATTCGCATTTGAGCTCCATTGGTGCATCTTATCAATACAGTTGATTTGCTTAGAATTCCCAAACAAAATTCAGATATGCAGATATCGATCAGAGAATCTGACTATCGTCTCTATCCCGAAACCTATTCATGCCACTTAAGATATCATCAGTGCAGGACAATCTGTCTAGCTCTGTTTACAGATAACTAATTGCAGGACGATGAAACAACTGTGGCGCAATTGAAAAATGCAATACATTTGTCACTAAGGACCTCCCAGCGGAAGATTTCTTCGAAAACCACATGAGCTCTAAGACAATGTATTTGATGTTGACGTGTCTAGTAGTTTTATCAGAAAGGCTGAAGTTCATACCATTATGTCTGGTTCAAATTAAAGGTACAGGAGATGTTGTATAGGGTTCTCACAGCGGACGATTCGTTCGAAGACCTGGGTTTTTACGGGCATGGATTCTAGGACAATATAAATGATATTAACTTGTCAATTAGTTTTTTCAGAGGGCTTAAAGTTCCGATTATTTTCTTGAAGATGAAATGATGCATTCGAAGCAGCTTTCGCAAACTTAAATGCCCTTTTTTCATTCTCCCTTGTCCACATTGTGTTAATGATTCAAACCTTGCAAAA